AAATATCCAGTGAGCAGCAGTTGTTTGGAGGAAAATGCCTTGTTGAGGTCCAAGGTCAGAGAAGAATGGGCAGACTGGTTCAAGAGGGTAGAAAAGCAACAGTAACTCATGTCAATATGGACCAAAATCTCTGAGGAATGTTTCCAACACTTGTTGACTCTATGCCACGAAGAATGAAGGCAATTCTGAAGGCAAAAGGGGGTCCAACCCGGTACTAGCCAGTTGGACCTAATAAAGTGGCCGGTGAGTGTAGTCAAGTACATATTATTTCATGTTTTTTGAGATCTTCTAGTTGGAGGTAGTTGTAGAAAATATCCAGTGAGCGGCAGCTGTTTGGAGGAAAATGCCTTGTTGAGGTCCATGGTCAGAGAAGAATGGGCAGTCTGGTTCAAGGTGCATAGAAAGGTAACAGTAACTCATGTCAATATGGACCAAAATCTCTGAGGAATGTTTCCAACACCTTGTTGAATCTACGCCACGAAGAATGAAGGCAATTCTGAAGGCAAAAGGGGGTCCAACACGGTACTAGCCAGTTGGACCTAATAAAGTGGCCGGTGAGTGTAGTCAAGTACATATTATTTCATGTTTTTTGAGATCTCCTTCTACTTGGAGGTAGTTGTATCTGACCTCCAGAAACATAGTAAGATGTTCCTGCACCAAATCTGGACTTCCCTATAAATATGGTCCCATACCTGGCAGATTTTTGACATCTTTCTAAATATTTCTTATATTTTGAATATTTGGTCAATAAAAGTTGTGTTTTAGGCCACGGTGGGTCTGAGGCGTGGGCTTAGCACATTCCCGCTAATTATCCTTTGAATGCCATTTCCCACAAACGGGCCAGCGGATTATAGTTTAGTGATAGCAATTTTTAATTATAAAATTATAGTTCAGGCCAGCAATTCGCAATTTATTATTATTTGTTTTTTATTCAACCCGACTCACGTTGAAGAATGTTTTTGGAATAAAGAAGCCAGTTTACTTCCCAACTGAATTAACCCTCTACTAATTCATACTAGTCCAATATTCAAACCAGCAGTATGAGCCCTACAGAAGAAGGAACCCTAAAGTACCCAAAAACTGTTGGCGTGTGGTTTCTGGGCCTCTAATTTTCAAGGAAAACTTTTGGACCTCTAAACATTTGGCGTTCTTCTTTTTCCTACACCTTCCGGTGCTTGGATGCACCTTTGAGGCCCCTTTGTGTTAGAGAGCTGCCTAGCCAAAATTGTTGTACTCTACAGCAGGGGGTCTCCAAACAAAGGGCCAGTTTGCTGTCCTAATGACTACTTCAATTTTTGGATCAAACTTGTCTGTATATCCTCCAAGGTGCCAAGTGCAGCAACACAAAGGAGGCCAGGGCCTCCCCCAGGAAAGAAAAGCTAATATAGCTAATGTGCTTGTCTTTATGTTAGCATATAGGGCTGAGATTGAGGGGGGGGGGGGCAGTGATTCAATGAGGTTCTACCCAGGGGCGGACTGACCATTTGGAAACTCGGGCACTGCCCGAGGGCCCGGGGTCAGTAGGGGGCCCCATGAGATGCCCCTGGTACCTTTTTCATAGGCTTTTTTAAGTTTGGGCAAGGACACAGGGGCCCAGGGGCGGACTGACCATTTGGAAACTCGAGCACTGCCCGGGGGCCCGGGGTCAGTAGGGGGCCCCATGAGATGCCCCTGGTACCTTTTTCATAGGCTTTTTTTAAGTTTGGGCAAGGACACAGGGGCCCAGGGGCGGACTGACCATTTGGAAACTCGAGCACTGCCCGGGGGCCCAGGGTCAGTAGGGGGCCCCATGAGATGCCCCTGGTACCATTTTCATAGGCTTTTTTGAGTTTAGGCAAGGACCAAGGGGCCCCATGATCCCCTATTGCCCGGAGGTCCCATGAGTTGTCAGTCCGTCCCTGGTTCTACCACATCCCACAGTGCTGTCAGTCTAACACGGAGTTGCTATGGGCAGGTCGGTGACCAACTTGAAATCCCTTACTGTAGAAGACAGTAAGGTCACCGGCCTGGCCGGTCACAAATTTTTTTTTTTTTGGCAAAATAAGACATCACACACACAATGGTTTTGAGGTTAGGTCTAGGGCTCTGTTCACACTAGTGCCATTTCAGATGCAACTTGAACCGCAAGACATCGGACAGCACATTATTCTCTATGTGGCATCCATTCCCATCAATTCAACTTTTGGAAATGGTTCCTGTACTACCTTGGTGCAAATCCAGCATGATTTTGGCCCCATGGAATAGGCAAACCGCTTCTAAGTAGCATCCAAGCTGCATCCGAGTTGGACTACATATTCGCAGCCCAATCAGAATCGGGTGGCGAGCAGCGTGAACCTGGACTCAGAAGTTTGCCTGGACTGTAGCTTTATCATCGTTTGGTCTTTCTGCAAAGTTGTGCAAAGTCAAGAAGACTACCTAGCAGTAAAAAGGTTTAAAGATATAAAATGACGTGTAAGTTTGTATCAAGCAGGGCTAGTAAACCGAAAACAAAAAAAGAGTTACATTTATGTCAAACATTCCGCTTACCGGCACAGAGAAGGAGATCTCCGGCGTGTCTTCTAACGTCAACACGCAGCTTATTATTCCACGTTTTCTGCCATTTAAAGACTTATAAGTGACGGCTGCTTGTATTTCTATGGCGTTACTAGGCAGCAAGTCTTCTGTGCTCAATGGTACATCATTCTTCTTAACGCCTTTCTCATTAAAAATACACTATATTGCCAAAAGTACTGGGGGCCCGCCCTCCAAATCATGTGTTTCAGGTGTTCCAATCCCCTCCAAATCATGTGATTCAGGTGTTCCAATCCCCTCCATATCATGTGATTCAGGTGTTCCAATCCCCTCCATATCATGTGATTCAGGTGCTCCAATCCCCTCCATATCATGTGATTCAGGTGCTCCAATCCCCTCCATATCATGTGATTCAGGTGTTCCAATCCCCTCCATATCATGTGATTCAGGTGTTCCAATCCCCTCCATATCATGTGATTCAGGTGTTCCAATCCCCTCCACATCATGTGATTCAGGTGTTCCAATCCCCTCCACATCATGTGATTCAGGAGTTCCAATCCCCTCCATGGCCACAAATGTTTAAAATCAAGCCCCTAGGCATGCAGACGGCTTCTACAAACATTGGTGAAAGAATGGGTCGCTCTCAAGAGCTCAGTGACTCCAAGCAATCTCTTCCAAAAGGACCTATGGGCTGAAGGAAAGGCTATACTGTACGTACACTATATTGCCCAAAGTATTGGGCCCCCCTCCAAATCATGTGATTCAGGTGTTCCAATCCCCTCCATATCATGTGACTCAGGTGTTCCAATCCCCTCCGTGGACACAGGTGTATACAATCAAGCCCCTAGGCATGCAGACTGCTTCTACAAACATTGGTGAAAGAATGGGTCGCTCTCAGGAGCTCAGTGACTCCAAGCGTGGTCCCGTGATAGGTGGTCACCTGGGCAATAAGTCCATCCGTGACATTTCCTGGCTACTAAACATTCCACGCTCAACTGTTAGTGGGATTATAACAAAGTGGAAGCCACTGGGAACAACAGCCACTCAGCCACCAAGTGGTAGGCCACGTCACATGACAGGGCGGGGTAAGCGCATGCTGAAGCGCACAGTGCGCAGAAGTCGCCAACTGTCTGCAGAGTCAATAGCTAAAGACCTCCAAGCTTGGTGTGGCCTTCAGATGAGCCCAACAACAGTGCGTAGAGAGCTTCATGGAATGGGTTTCCATGGCCGAGCAGCTGCATCCAAACCTTCCATCACCAAGTGCAATGCAAAGCGTTGGATGCCGTGGCGTAAAGCACGCCGCCACTGGATTCCAGAGCAGTGGAGACGTGTTCTCTGGAGTGACCAATCACACTTCTCTGTCTGGCAATCCGATGGACATGTCTGGGGTTTGGCGGTGGCCAGGAGAACGGTACTTGCCTGACTGCATTGTGCCAAGTGTAACGTTTGGTGGAGGGGAGATTATGGTGTGGGGTTGTTCCTCAGGGGTGGGCTTGGCCCCCTAGTTCCAGTGAAGGGAACTCTTAAGGTGCCATTTTGGACAATTTCATGCTCGCAACTTTGTGGGAAGAGTTTGGGGATGGCCCCTTCCTGTTCCAACATGACTGCGCACCAGTGCACAAAGCAAGGTCCATAAAGACATGGAGGAGCCAGTTTGGGGTGGAGGAATTTGACTGTCCTGCACAGAGTCCTGACCTCAACCCCATAGAACACCTTTGGGATGAATTAGAGCGGAGACTGTGAGCCAGGCCTCCTCCCCCGACATCAGTGCCTGACCTGACAAATGTGCTTCTGGAAGAATGGTCCAACCTTCCCATAGACACCCTCCTAAACCTTGTGGACGGCCTTCCCAGAAGAGTTGAAGCTGTTATAGCTGCAGAAGGCGGGGCCAACTCAATATTGGACCCTACGGACTAAGACTGGGAGCCCATTAAAGGTCATGTGCGTGGAAAGGGCGGGGCCAACTCAATACTGAACCCTACGGACTAAGACTGGGAGCCCATTAAAGGTCATGTGTGAGGAAAGGGCGGGGCCAACTCAATACTGAACCCTACAGACTAAGACTGGGGGGCCATTAAAGGTCATGTGCGTGGAAAGGCAGGCGGCCCAATACTTCTGGCAATATAGATATTAAGTTCTGAGTTCCTCAGACATTTACATATTTATTTTAAAAAAGTACCTAAAAATGATTTGACATAAACCTGTGATTTACGTTTCATGGCCCTCTAAGGCAGCATTTTAGCCTGCAGACGAGGACTAGAAATGCAAACTAAGCCTTCCCAGCAGCTGCTACATAAGACAACAGCAAGAAAAGGTTCAAGGAATGGCAGTAGCAAGCTAGTTCGCACAAAGGCACAAAATGATAATATTTTGCTCATTGTGTCTGATTTGTTACGGGCTGCTATCAGGGTGCTAGCAGTATAAATTATTGCTGTAGGAGACATTGGCGATAGGAAATTGGTCAACAATTTGAAGCCGTGGGCCGGCGCTTATTCGTCCTTCACTAAGAATTCAACTTTGTCCATATCCAACTCCGGGAGGATGAAGATGCAGTAGCAAATAAACCACAGCAGGATCCCGATGGGATACAGCTTCCTCAGGTCATGATCGGACATGAAAGCTCCAGATCCCGGGGACCCACTTTGGGTGTCGCCATACTCGTTTTTGCTGCAAAGAAAGAGAAAAGGAGAGTTAAAAAATAGAAGAGAAGAGCATATACAAAAAGGTACTAGCTACGAGTTCTCGAATTCCACAGAATGCAAACCTCTAAGAGGGAGCATACAAGTTGTTGAGTAGGTCAGGGGTCTCCAGACTTACTATACAAAGGGCCAGTTTACTGTCCTTCAGACTTTAGTGGGGCCGGACTGTGGAGATTGGGTGTAGAAAATCCTCCTTCATCATGGAAGTAAATGATGCCCCATCATCGGTGTCAATGAGAGGAATGTGCCCCATTGTTTTTGTCAGTGAAAGGAATTGTGATCCATCGCTGGTGTTGTTGGGAGAAATCATGCCCCATCATTGGTGTCGTTGGGAGGAATAGTGCTTCATCATTGGTGTCATTGGGAGGAATCGTGTCCCATTATTGGTGTCGTTGGGAGGAAATGTGCCCCATCATTGGTGTCAGTGGGAGGAATAGTGCCCCATCATTGTGTCGTTGGGAGGAAACGTGCCCCATCATTGGTGTCAATAAGAGGAATGTGCCCCATTGTTTTTGTCAGTGAAAGGAACTGTGATCCATCGCTGGTGTTGTTGGGAGAAATCGTGCCCCATCATTGGTGTCGTTGGGAGGAATCGTGCCCCATCATTGGTGTCGTTGGGGAATCGTGCCCCATCGTTGGGAGGAATCGTGTCCCATCATTGGTGTCGTTGGGAGGAATAGTGTCCCATCATTGGTGTCGTTGGGAGGAATCGTGCCCCATTGTTGGGAGAAATCGTGCCCCATCATTGGTGTCGTTGGGAGGAATCGTGTCCCATCATTGGTGTCAGTGGGAGGAATAGTGTCCCATCATTGGTATCAGTGGGAGGAATAGTGCCCCATCATTGGTGTCGTTGGGAGGAATCGTGTCCCATCATTGGTGTCATTGGGAGGAATAGTGCCCCATCATTGGTATCGTTGGGAGGAATCGTGCCCCATCATTGGTATCAGTGGGAGGAATAGTGCTCCATCATTGGTGTCGTTGGGAGGAAATGTGCCCCATCATTGGTGTCGTTGGGAGGAATCGTGTCCCATTATTGGTGTCGTTGGGAGGAAATGTGCCCCATCATTGGTGTCAGTGGGAGGAATAGTGCCCCATCATTGGTGTCGTTGGGAGGAAACGTGCCCCATCATTGGTGTCGTTGGGAGGAAACGTGCCCCATCATTGGTGTCACTGGGGGAGGAATCGTGTCCCATCATTGGTGTCAGTGGGAGGAATCGTGCCCCATCATTGGGAGGAATCGTGCCCCCCCATCCTTAGTGTCAGTGGGCCCCTAGCGTTGGTGTCACTGGGAGGAACTTTGCCCCATTGTTGGTGTCAATGTTGAAATAGTGCTCCAAGGGCCAGCTAAAAGCAGACGAAGGGCCGCATCTGGGCCCTGGGCCACAGTTTGGAGACCACTGGAGTAGGTGGTACTACACCCCAGATAAAAGCTTCTCTTGCAGATCACCAGACTGTTAATGAAAGTATCCCATGATATGGCAGAATTGTTAAGTAGCCTCCTCCTTCTGGAGAACGGTTGGCGGTCTGGTGTTGGATAGCTTCAGATGTTGGACACAACTGATGGCTTGGTCAATGTTACTGAAAGAGGGAGCATTCAAGTTCTGGAGGAAGCGGTTCTACATCCCAGCTTGACTTCATAAAAACTTCCCGTCTAGTTCTCCTGATTGTTTATGAAAGTGTCCCATGATGTGGTGGCATTGCACAGTAGCCTCTTTTGGATCTTTGTTACTCAAAGAGGGAGTATACAGGTTGTTGAGTATGAGGTACTGTGACCCAGCTAGACAGATGTTGGACACAACTGATGGCTTGGTCAATGTTACTGAATGAGGGAGCATTCAAGTTCTGGAGAAAGTGGTCCTACACCCCACTAGACCTTATGGAAGCTTCCTGTCCAGTTCGAATGATTGTTATTGAAAGTGTCCCATGATGTGGTGGCATTGCAAAGTAGCCTCCTACTTCTGGTGGACCATTGGGGGTCTGGTCCTTGATCTCCTCAGATGCAGGATACAACTGATGCCTTAGACAACGTTATTCAACGAGGGAGCATACAGGTTTATGAGAACGTGATACTACACCCCAGATAAACTTTATAAAGCTTGCCCTCTACTTCTCCAGATTGTTATTGAAAGTGTCCCATGATATGGTGGAATGAGCAACCTTTTGGAGGACAATTGAAGGTCTGCTGTTGGATCTCTGATTTCAGGTTCTCAGGATTTATCTGAGCTTTGTCTGAGCTTTCAGAAAGCAGGGGGCGGAGAGCTGAAATTACACTCAGCAGAGCTCAGTAAGGAAAACTCTAACAACTGATTGGAGGGAAGGGACACACACAGAGCTGAGACTGTCAATCACAGGCTGTGTGCTGGAGGTTGTTTCCCTGTCACCTTTTTGCTCTTGGTGTTAGGAAAATCTGTCAGATGTGACTGGTGCTGATAGCAGAGGAAAGGGGCAGCAAACAGAAATGACACTCAGTGCTCTGGATTGAGGCAAGTACACACTATAGAGGGATAGGCTTTGTTCATGTTTCAAATCTGAAGTTTACAACCACTTTAAGGATCTCCTTTAGTGTCACTTTAAGCTCTATGTTCACCCATCGCCTTTGATGAACGGAACTCACCTCAGTCCTGAATTTTGGTCTTTATCATCCTCTGTGTGTTCCTCCCTCAAAGTGATCAGATTCTGCCAAATACGCATGAAAATATTGTTATTCTTTAAAAGAATAAAAAGTGAAAATTAGATTAAAAATGACAAAAGATGAAAAGAGTTACAATCACTGAATCTGATTAATAGCCGAAGCCAAAACCTTTATTCCTGCCTCTGTCAAGGCTCAGGATCGAATTTTCTCCACCATGGCCTCTTCTATTCTACGCCTCTTTTTGTCTGCTAATGACCTATAATACTTTGTATCCGGAACATGCAGCCACCCTCCGAAAATATGTGCTTACAGTGTTACTAAATCCAGGACCCCGCATTCACTATATCCGCTCTCCCCTGGACCCCGCATTCACTATATCCGCTCTCCCCGGACCCCGCATTCACTATATCCACTCTCCCTGGACCCCGCATTCACTATATCCGCTCTCCCCTGGACCCCGCATTCACTATATCCCCTCTCCCCGGACCCCGCATTCACTATATCCGCTCTCCCCGGACCCCCCATTCACTATATCCGCTCTCCCCGGACCCCGCATTCATTATATCCTCTCTCCCCGGACCCCGCATTCACTATATCCTCTCTCCCCGGACCCCCCATTCACTATATCCGCTCTCCCCGGACCCCGCATTCACTATATCCGCTCTCCCCGGACCCCCCATTCACTATATCCGCTCTCCCCGCACCCCGCATTCACTATATCTGCTCTCCCGGACCCCGCATTCACTATATCCGCTCTCCCACAGTACTCAGAACATGGAAATGCAATAATTTTAGTAAATATAAACTGATAAATCCCTTTTCTCATCAGCAGTATAGAGCAGTCTTGTGACTTCTATCAGTGTCCAGCAGATTACTGGTTAAAGCTTGTAGGAGGAGTTTTCATTCTGCTTTAGGAGGATGCAGAACCCCTGGCCTCTTTCTGAACAGAGAGGATTAGCCCTGTGCTGATCACATGCACTCTCCCAAGAAAAAAAAAAACCTCTCTAGCAATACACACCAAACTGAGCTTGTGAAGAGTGTCTCCACACGATATAACTTATCAAGAGATAAAAGGGGGACGCTAGAAGAAGGGGAGGATCAGAGAAGACAGGATCAAACAGCCTTTTTACATAATGTGGAGGATTAACCCCTTAGGTTCCACAGTGAGTATAACCAGCATGCTTTGCTGCATCTACAGACTGATGTCACTGTTGCGGGTTTAGTAACACTTTAAGTACTTGAACCCCAAGGCCACGTCTGACATTTCTCTCCTACATGTACACAAATCTGCATTTTTTTGCTAGAAAATTACCTAGAACCCCCAAACATTATATATTTTTAAGCAGAGACCATGGAGAATAAATGGTGGGTGTTGCGATTTTTGTATATCACATGATATTTGCGCAGTTGTTTGTCAAACACAAATTTTTTTCGGAAAAAAAAACCTCAATGAATATTAGTGAACACAAACACAATATAATACCCAATTTTTTTGGGGAAAAATATAAAAAAAAAATGCCATAGTACATCGACTACAAACGCGTCACGCTTTAAAATTGCGCAGAAGGGCAACTGATTACATTAAATTATTCATAGGAGACCCTTCAAAAACCTTTACAGGTCCCCGGATCAGAGCCCCATACACACAATGAGAATGCTTTTTTTTTTTTTTTTTTTTTTCATGCGAGTTTCACGATCGATAATAAAAAAAGGTTTCTAAATTTACCAAAAAAATCTAGTAGGATAGAATAAAAATTTGATGTCATGTACAGTGAAGGAAATATTTGCTCCCCGGCTGATGTTGAATGTTCGCCCCTCACACAGAAATGATCGGTCTAACAATGGAATGTTCGCCCCTCACACAGAAATGATCGGTCTAACAATGGAATGTTCGCCCCCCCTCACACAGAAATGATCGGTCTAACAATGGAATGTTCGCCCCTCACACAGAAATGATCGGTCTAACAATGGAATGTTCGCCCCTCACACAGAAATGATCGGTCTAACAATGGAATGTTCGTCCCTCACACAGAAATGATCGGTCTAACAATGGAATGTTCGGTGTAACACTGAGAGACAGAATACAACAACAAATTCAGCAGAAATGCATCTAACAAATGATGACGGATCTGCATGTTCATGAGGGAAAGAAGGATTGGATCCTCTATCATTCAGCAGGATTTCTGGCTCCCAGGTGTCTCTCATACAGGTAACAAGCTGAGATTAGAAGCAGTCTCTTAAAGGGAGTGCTGCTAATCTCATTGTGTTACCTGTATAAAAGACACCTGTCCACAGGATCAATCAAACCATCAGATTCCAAACTCTCCACCATGGCAAAGACCAAAAATCTAGTAGGATAGAATAAAGAGCTGTCCAAGGAGGTCAGGGACAAGATGGTAGACCTACACAAGGCTGGACTGGGCTACCAAACTATGGCCAAGCAGCTTGGTGAGAAGGTGACAACAGTTGGTGCAATTATTCACAAATGGAAGAAACACAAAACAAGTGTAATGTATTTGTATTGGATTTGCAGATGAAAACTGTAATGATTGACCTCCCTGGCGGTATGATTATGTCAGGAATTTTGTACCAAAAAAGCGGTACCATTTTTTTTGCATGGAAATTTGGTGTTCTGTATTGTAGGCCTGTAATTCTTAGTAATTACTTACTTAATAAATAATCATAAAAAAATGTAATAATATAATAATAATAAATCGGTGTAATTCAATAATATAATCCAACCAAAAACACTGAAATGTGAAATAGAGCGCCAAGTTGGCCCATCGCTGAAGCTCAGTCGCAGAATCGTTTTCAGTGTCTGATGAGGAATTTCCCCCACCAATCATTATCACTCAATTCTGCAAGTGGTTTGATTTACTATCGCTGTTCTCTATTTCTGGCTCCCAGGGTCTAAAACCGCGTCTGACCTAAAGGGACGCTTTTTTTTAAAATGGGACGCCATGGACGTTTCTCATTTTCAGGCAGAAAGGGCTGTAAAAATGCAGGCAGGGCTCCGGACAAAGCACTCGGGAAACATGTATGTGAAATGCTTTGATACAGGAATGTTTTGCTATGAAATAACCAAAAAAATGTCATTTTTTTTAAATTTTCAAATTTGCCGACCTCACAGGGACCGGAACACGGAAGCCAGATGCCGGTATTGGCCGGAGGAAGCCGGGGACGCTGCAGGGGACGCATCGGGGAGCGCAGGACAAGGTAAGCGCTGTGGTGAATCCCTGAGCAACGCCGCATGGTAAACACAAAACGAGTGTATCGGGGGGGGTTACCGCTTTTGATACTGAAACTTTGCCCCGATGAAAACACTCGGGAATAAGGATTAAACAAAAAAATTGTACAGTTTGGTATTTTGCATTTTTTTTAGCGCCCCCCCCCCCCCCCCCCCCCCAAAAAAAAAAATTTTTTTTGGGTTAAAAAAACATCCAAAAACGCAGGTTTGCGGCATTTTAGTGCAATTTTTTTAAGCATTAGAGTGTTTTTACAGCTAAAAAAATCTCCTCTAGAAACCCACTAGATCTGGGGGGTTTTCCCAGCCAAAAAACGTTTTTAGCATTTTTTCATTAGCATTTAGCCGCATTTGCGGTTTTTTCCACGTTTTTGTTTTTTTCCCCAAAATTTTTTTTTTTTGGTCTGAAAAACGTCCAAAAACGTGAGGCGTTTTACTGCGTTTCTCAGCTTTTCAGTGTGTTTACAGCTAAAAAAAACTCCTCCAGAATCCCACTATTCCTGGGTTTTTTTCCAGCCAAAAAAACGTTGATTCCAGTCTGTGTGTGTATGGACACCGAGGATAACATGCTGGGGGGGCTACCGGCTGTAGAAAAAAACCCATCAAAAGCCAAAAACAGCCGCTATAAAAACGGCCCGTGTGCGTGAGGAATCAAGCATGGGGGCGCTTTAAAAAAAAATATTTAATTTTATTATTTGTTTGCTTTTTTTTTTTTCACTGTAACTTTCATTTTGTTTTCTGGATCAACTTTATTGCTTTCACTGTAACTTTCATTTTGTTTTCTGGATCAACCGTCACAGGATGGGCCGTGACAGGTCCTCTTTATGGAGAAATCTTCTGTCTGTTAGACCCCCAGATCTCTCCTCTGACCTCCAAAGCATCTGATCGAGACTAAGATCGGATACTGCTGTACAAGCCGGTAACAGCTTGCCACCGGCCGACCCGGAAATCGGAAGTGACGAAATCCCCATCGCTTCTGGTTTATGACATCACAGAAGAGGGGTGGGAACTTCTGTTCCCTCCACTCTTCCTAGGGAATGCGACCGAATAGGTTGCGTCTTTATTGGTCTCCCCAATTGGACAGGAGAGTCTAGTAAAGACAGTGGAAAAGGGGGGGGGGGGGAGGGGCTTCCACTGCCTGTAAAGTGATCCAGCGGTTGTATAGCCGCTGGATCACTATTACAGAAAAATAAAAAAGAGAATCGCCAGCTGATAAGAACAATACCAAGATCATGGTTGTAGCTGTAACTACAATCCTGGTATAACCACCTCAATACAGGCTGTATATATACAAATGGCGTTAATGATGTGGCTACAGCAGGACTTCACTCAAAAATCGGTTAACCCCCGTTAAAGTTTTTTTGGAGAATGGGGGAGGGGGAAGTGAGTACTGATTGTTATCGGTACCCACTTCTGCAATCCTCACCTAGGTAAGGATGGTGTCTCTTGCAACCCCAACCAACTATGCATTGTTGATAAGTCATGACCCTTGTGCTGATTTTTTTTTTTATCATTCATCTGCCCATTCTCCATTCATAAATCGTTTTTCATTCATGGAAGCTATAGCACAGCTTCTATGAATGGGAGAACGGGGGAGGGGTGTGGAAATGGGGGCATAGTTGGTACACTTGATGAATGCCTATGACAGGTCCCTCGGCTCTGTTAACCTCCATGGAAGTGGAAGAGTACGGTGGTGCAAAGTATGGCATGCTTGATGACTGCCTATGAGGAGGGTGGGGGTTGGGAGTAGGGTGTCAATGGAGAAAGATTTGAATGAATGCAGGAGCCCATCAGCACAAGGGATACAATGCATTGTTACTAAGTCATGTTCCTTGTGCTGAATTTTTTTTTTTTTTCATTCATCTGCCCTTCCTCCATTCATAGATCGTTTTTCATTCATGGAAGCTATAGCACAGCTTCTATAAATGGAGAAGGGGAAGGGGTGTGGAAATGGGGGCATAGTTGGTACACTTGATGTATGCCTATGGCAGGTCCCTCGGCTCTGTTAACCTCCATGGAAGTGGAAGAGTACGATGGTGCAAAGTCGGCACGCTTGATGACTGCCTATGACGGTGGTGGGGGTTGGGAGTGGGGTGTCGATGGAGAAAGATTTGAATGAATGCAGAAGCCCCAGCAGCACAAGGGATACAATGCATTGTTAGTAAGTCATGTTCCTTGTGCTGATTTAATTTTTTTTTTCATTCATCTGCCCTTCCTCCATTCATTGATGGTTTTTCATTCATGGAAGCTATAGCACAGCTTCTATGAATGAAGAATGGGCGAGGGGGAGGGGGGGGGGGGGGTGGAAATGGTGAGCATAATTGGCACAACTGATGAATGCCCATGAGGGTGGTGGGGGTTGGGAGTAGGGTGCCGATGGAGAAAGATTTGAATGAATGCAGGAGCCCAGCAGGCAGCACAAGGGATACAACGCATTCTTAGTAAGTCATGACCCTAGTGCTGTTTTTTTTTTCATTCATCTGCCCTTCCTCCATTCATAGATCATTCTTCATTCATGGAAGCTATAGTACAGCTTCTATGAATGGAGAAGGGGGGTGGAAATGGTGGGCATAATTGCAACATGAATGCCTATGACAGGTGCCTCGGCTCTGTTAACCTCCAATGAACGGGAAGATCACGTTGGTGGGGGTTGGGGAAGGTGGTGGGGTGTCAATGGAGAAAGATTTGAATGAATGCAGGAGCCCATCAGCACAAGGGATACAATGCATTGTTAGTAAATAATATCCCTTTTGCTGAGTTTTTTTTTTTTTACTGAACTTAAGCTGTCCATAGATGGATTAAAATTGAAAGCGGTTCAGCGGGGACCGGCTGAATTTGGAACCATGTGTGACCTTCCCTGTTCGACAGAAGTCGATCGTTGAACCGGATTGCTAAAAAATGTTTCTCGATCAGCGTCTGCATTGTTAGAAGCGGGCAATGGCTGCCTGCGTATTTTCTAACCCTTTCCACCAATCTGGGCATTGCCATTATATACAGATAGGAGGACATAACTGGAGGAAAGGCCGTGGTTGTGTCTTCTGCAATATATAAATAAAAAGGAAAGCGACTTACCAAAGGTTTGTGAACTTTGCGCTCTCTTCTGTTGCGGGGCGCGCGCGCCGTTCTGTAGCTCTCTGTGAAAAATGCAAAATGTGTCAACTGGACGTTGCTCAACACCAGAATATCTTCCCCATGAAGGACTTAGTCTTCCTCCCGTAGACATGGATGACTTTGGGGACTAAAGGATAATAAATGTCGCCAGGGCCGGGACAAGGGGTGGGCGGGAGGGGCGGCTGCCCCGGGCGCAATGGTTTACTATAGGGATGGGGGGCGCCCTCCTTCTGTTACAAGGCTGACAGCAGCAGTGATTTTGAAAAGCGAGTGACTGCCAGGTGTAGGATCTCCTAAGCTTCCACAACATAAATGGGGAGGCGGGGGGCGGGGGGGGGGGGGGCAATGTCATGTGTTCCCACACACCATCAATCATGAAAAAAAAATAAATCGCAGCCGCTATCAAACCCGGATCAGAATTGCATCATCTCCCCTTATTCCTAAAGTGTATATAGTTAGTCTGGCTGAAAGAAGACAAAAGTCCATCCAATTCAACCATTAACCCCTTCCAGTCCGGACACTTTCACCCCCCTTCCAGTCCGGACACTTTCCCCCCCCTTCCAGTCCGGACACTTTCCCCCCCTTCCAGTCCGGACACTTTCACCCCCTTCCAGTCCGGACACTTTCCCCCCCTTCCAGTCCGGACACTTTCCCCCCCCTTCCAGTCCGGACACTTTCACCCCCTTCCAGTCCGGACACTTTCACCCCCTTCCAGTCCAGACACTTTCCCCCCCTTCCAGTCCGGACACTTTCCCCCCCTTCCAGTCCGGACACTTTCCCCCCCTTCCAGTCCGGACACTTTCCCCCCCTTCCAGTCCGGACGCTTTCACCCCTTCCAGTCCGGACGCTTTCACCCCCTTCCAGTCCGGACGCTTTCCCCCCCTTCCAGTCCGGACACTTTCCCCCCTTCCAGTCCGGACACTTTCCCCCCCTTCCAGTCCGGACGCTTTCACCCCCTTCCAGTCCAGACGCTTTCACCCCCTTCCAGTCCGGACACTTTCCCCCCCTTCCAGTCCGGACACTTTCACCCCCTTCAAGTCCGGACACTTTCCCCCCCTTCCAGTCTGGACACTTTCCCCCCCTTCCAGTCCGGACACTTTCCCCCCCTTCCAGTTCAGGACACTTTCACCCCCTTCCAGTCTGGACACTTTCCCCCCTCTTCAAGTCCGGACACTTTCCCCCCCTTCCAGTCCGGACACTTTCACCCCCTTTCAGACACTTTCACCCTTCAAGTCCGGACACTTGCCCCCCCTTCCAGTGCGGACACTTTCACCCCCCTTCCAGTCCGGACACTTTCCCCCCCTTCCTGCCCAGGCCAATTTTGAGCTTTCAGCGCCATCACATGTCATGGTGTGATGGATCCATCCTGCCTTGTATCAATGGTTCAGGCTGGTGGTGGTGGAGTCATGGTGTGGTGGATCCATCCTGCCTTGTATCAAAGGTTCAGGCTGATGGTGGTGGTGTCATGGTGTGGTGGATCCATCCTGCCTTGTATCAATGGTTCAGGCTGGTGGTGGTGGTGTCATGGTGTGGTGGATCCATCCTGCCTTGTATCAATGGTTCAGGCTGGTGGTGGTGGTGGTGTCATGGTGTGGTGGATCCATCCTGCCTTGTATCAATGGTTCAGGCTGGTGGTGGTGGTGTCATGGTGTGGTGGATCCATCCTGCCTTGTATCAATGGTTCAGGCTGGTGGTGGTGGTGTCATGGTGTGGTGGATCCATCCTGCCTTGTATCAATGGTTCAGGCTGGTGGTGGTGGTGGTGTCATGGTGTGGTGGATCCATCCTGCCTTGTATCAATGGTTCAGGCTGGTGGTGGTGGTGTCATGGTGTGGGGGATCCATCCTGCCTTGTATCAATGGTTCAGGCTGGTGGTGGTGTCATGGTGTGGTGGATCCATCCTGCCTTGTATCAATGGTTCAGGCTGGTGACTGCCAGGTGTAGGATCTCCTAAAGCTTCCACAACATAAATGGGGAGGCGGGGGGGGGCAATGTCATGTGTTCCCACACACCATCAATCATGAAAAAAAAAAAATCGCAGCCGCTATCAAAACCCGGATCAGAATTGCATCATCTCCCCTTATTCCTAAAGTGTATATAGTTAGTCTGGCTGAAAGAAGACAAAAAGTCCATCCAATTCAACCATTAACCCCCTTCCAGTCCGGACACTTTCACCCCCCTTCCAGTCCGGACACTTTCACCCCCTGTCCAAACCCCTTCCAGTCGGACACTTTCTGCCCTTCCAGTCCGACACTTTCACCCCCTTCCAGTCCAGACACTTTCACCCCCTTCCAGTCCAGACACTTTCCCCCCCTTCCAGTCCGGACACTTTTCCCCCCTTCCAGTCCGGACACTTTCCCCCCCTTCAGTCCGGACACTTTCCCCCCCTTCCAGTCCGGACGCTTTCACCCCCTTCCAGTCCGGACGCTTTCACCCCCTTCCAGTCAGACACACTTTCACCCCCCCCTTCCAGTCCAGACACTTTCACCCCCCTTCCAGTCCGGACACTTTCACCCCCTTCCAGTCCGGACACTTTCACCCCTTCCAGACCGGACACTTTCACCCCCTTCCAGTCCGGACACTTTCCCCCCTTCCAGTCCGGACACTTTCCCCCCCTTCCAGTCCGGACACTTTCCCCCCCCCTTCCATTCAGGACACTTTCACCCCCTTCCAGTCTGGACACTTTCACCCTCTTCAAGTCCAGACACTTTCACCCCCTTCAAGTCCGGACACTTTCACTCCCTTCAAGTCCGGACACTTGCCCCCCCTTCCAGTGCGGACACTTTCACCCCCCTTCCAGTCCGGACACTTTCCCCCCCCTTCCTGCCCAGGCCAATTTTGAGCTTTCAGCGCCATCACATGTCATGGTGTGATGGATCCATCCTGCCTTGTATCAATGGTTCAGGCTGGTGGTGGTGGAGTCATGGTGTGTGTGGATCCATCCTGCCTTGTATCAAAGGTTCAGGCTGATGGTGGTGGTGTCATGGTGTGGTGGATCCATCCTGCCTTGTATCAATGGTTCAGGCTGGTGGTGGTGGTGTCATGGTGTGGTGGATCCATCCTGCCTTGTATCAATGGTTCAGGCTGGTGGTGGTGGTGGTGTCATGGTGTGGTGGATCCATCCTGCCTTGTATCAATGGTTCAGGCTGGTGGTGGTGTCATGGGTGTGGTGGATCCATCCTGCCTTGTATCAATGGTTCAGGCTGGTGGTGGTGGTGGTGTCATGGTGTGGTGGATCCATCCTGCCTTGTATCAATGGTTCAGGCTGGTGGTGGTGGTGTCATGGTGTGGTGGATCCATCCTGCCTTGTATCAATGGTTCAGGCTGGTGGTGGTGTCATGGTGTGGTGGATCCATCCTGCCTTGTATCAATGGTTCAGGCTGGTGGTGGTGGTGGGTGTCATGGTGTGGTGGATCCATCCTGCCTTGTATCAATGGTTCAGGCTGGTGGTGGTGTGGTGTCATGGTGTGTGGTGGATCCATCCTGCCTTATATCAATGGTTCAGGCTAGTGGTGGTGGCGTAATGGGGTGGTGAGATTTTCTCGGCACTCGCATGGTGGACCTACTAAAGTGGCCTATGAGTGTTAAAGGAACTTAGGGGTTTCTTGACTGTCTCCATTCTGGTTTCTTGCAATTCATTTTAACTTGAAAAGCATTTCTTAAATAACCATTTCACACATTTCATTACCTTGAATGCCACGGATCCTGAAGACTGGCCCGATTTCTGCAGCAAGTCTGGAAGTCCGATCCTCCATGAGATAGAATTCTTCATCCGAATCTGACTTCCTAGCATAGATTCTCCCTCTACTTGGAGCTTCATCCCAGTCATCATCAGGATCTTCGGTGTGTTCAAAAACCTGAGATTAGTAAAGCCATGTTATCTTCAAGACATTCTAAATCAACGACTTTTAAAGACCAATCCTGAGCGAATGGGTTTACGGGCATGGTTTTGGGTCAATTATATTCTCATTTTTTATTATTCTCAAGTTTTATTACTTTTTTTTACTAATTTTTATTCTTGGCATAAAATACATGTTCTCCATGAAAAGCCCAGTACTGGCCACTCACTCACTGACTGCTCTCGACTAATTTCAAATTCGTAAAGATTTCATGATTTTTACATTTTACCCTTGAAAAAAAATAATTATACACAGTACTGTGCAAAAGTTTCAGGCAGGTGTGAAAAAATGCTGTAAATGAAGAATTCTTTCAGAAATAGAAGTGTTATTAGTTTCTTTTTATCAATTTACAGAATGGAAAGTAAATGAACAGAAGATAAAAATCCAATCAATATTTGGTGTGACCCCACCCCTTTTGCCTTCTTCTAGGTAGACTTGCACCCAGTGAAGGAACTCGGCAGGTAGGCATCTCGGAGAACTAAGCACCAATCTTCTATGGATGTCGACCGCCTCAAATCCTTCTGTCTCTTCATGTCATCCCTGACAGACTCCATGATGGTGAGATCGGGGCTCTGTGGGGGCCAAACCATCACTTCTAGGACTCCTTGGTTCTTCTTTATATTGAAAAATAGTTCTTAATGACATTGACTGTATGTTTGGGGTGGTTGTCCTGCTGCAGAATAAATTTGGGGCCAATCACACTCCTCCCTGTTGGTACAGCATGATGTATCTGCTTGTATTTCTCAGCATTGAGGACACCATTGATGAAGGGCAACATTGAGGAGCATAGACACAGTGGTCAGCCAAGGAAACCTAATGCAGCGGGATGAAAGACACATCATGCTTACTTCCCTTGACATGGCAGGGCCAATAACACACCTCCCTGATGGTACAGCATGATGGAGAAGTATCTGCCTGTATTTCTCAGCATTGAGGACACCATTGATCCTGACCAAATCTCCAACTCCTTTTGCAGAAATGCAGCCCCAAACTTGCAAGGAACCTCCAACCATTTTTGGTTGCAGACGCTCATTATTGTCCCGCTCTCCAACCCTTCGCCTTTGCCTCTTGCTACAGCTAAATATTTCACATTGTGACTCATCAGCCTAGAGCACCTGCTGCCATTTTTCTGCACCCCAGTTCCTATGTTTTCCTACATAGCTGAGTTGCTTAGCCTTGTTTCCACGTCAGAGGTGTAGCTTTTTGGCCGCAATTCTTCCATGAAGACCACTTCTAGCCAGACTTCTCCAGGCAGTAGATGGGTGTACCTGGGTCCCACTGGTTTCCGCCAGTTCTGTGATGATGGCACTGCTGGACACCTTCCGATGTGGAAGGGAAGTAAGCATGATGTGTCTTTCATCTGCTGCATTAAGTTTCCTTGGTCGACCACTGCATCTACGATCCTCAACGTTACCCAACCACCATGTCCACACTCCTCAATGTTGTCTTTTTCTTTGTGCTTCTTCAAAAGATCTTGATGAATGGAATTAATCTTTCAGCCTTTCATTAACAAACTGCCTCCTGCTACAGCCAAATATTTCACATTTTGGACTCATCAACCTACAGCACCTGTTGCCATTTTGCTGCACCCCATGGTTCCTATGTTTTCCTGCATAGATGAGTTGCTTAGCCTTGTTTCCATGTCATAGGACTAGCTTTTTTTGGCCACAATTCTTCCATGAAGACGACTTATCCATACAGTAGATGGGTGTACCTGGGTCCCACTGGTTTCCACCAGTTCTGTGATGATGGTACTGCTGGACACCTTCCGATGTGGAAGGCAAGTAAGCAAAATGTGTCTTTCATCTGCAGCATTAAGTTTCCTTGGTCGATCACTGCATCTACGATCCTCAACGTAACCCAACCACTGCGTCTACACTCCTCAACGTTGTCTATTTCTTTGTGCTTCTTCAAAAGATCTTGATGGAATGGAATTAATCTTTCAGCCTTTCGTCAACAAACTGCCTCCTGCTGCAGCCAAATATTTCACATTTTGCCTCATCAGCCTCTAGAGCACCTGCTGCCATTTTTCTGCACCCATCTTTCCTATGTTTTCCTGCATAGCTGAGTCGCTTAGCCTTGTTTCCATGTTAGATGTCTGGGCTTTTTGGCCACAATTCTTCCATGAAGACCGCTTCTAGCCAGACTTCTCTGTACAGTATAGATGGGGTGTACCTGGGTCCCACTGGTTTCAGCCAGTTCTGTGCTGATGGCACTGCTGGACACCTTCCAATGTGGAAGACAAGAAAGCAAGATGTGTCTTTCATCTGCTGCATTAAGTTTCCTTGGCCGACCACTGCATCTACGATCCTCAACGTTACCCAACCACTGCGTCTACACTCCTTAATGTTGCCTATTTCTTTGTGCTTCTTATTTCTTTGTGCTTCTTCAAAAGATCTTGATGAATGGAATTAATCTTTCAGCCTATCGTCAACAAACTGCCTCCTGCTATAGCCAAATATTTCACATTTTGACTCATCAGCCTACAGCACCCGTTGCCATTTTTCTGCACCCCATGGTTCCTTTGTTTTCCTGCATAGCTGAGTTGCTTAGCCTTGTTTCCATGTCATAGGTCTTGCTTTTTGGTTGCAATTCTTCCATAAAGACCACTTCTCCGGACAGTAGATGGGTGTACCTGGGTTCCACTGGTTTCCACCAGTTTTGTGCTGATGGCACTGCTGGACACATTCCAATGTGGAAGGGAAGTAAGCAAGATGTGTCTTTCATCTGTTGCATTACGTTTCCTTGGCTGACCACTGCATCTACAATCCTCAATGTTACCCAACCACTTTGTCTACACTCCTCAATGTTGCCTATTTCTTTGTGCTTCTTCAAAAGAACTTGATGAATGGAATTAATCTTTCAGCCTTTTGTCAACAAACTGCCTCCTGCTACAGCCAAATATTTCACATTTTGACTCATCAGCCTAGAGCACCTGTTGACATATTTCTGCACCTCATGGTTCCTATGTTTTCCTGCATAGCTGAGTTGCTTAGTCTTGTTTCCATGTCAGAGGTGTGAATTGTTGGACGCAATTCTTCCATGAAGACCACTTCTAGCCAGACTTCTCTGGACGGTAGATGGGTGTATCTGGGTCCCACTGGTTTCCACCAGTTCTGTGCTGATGGCACTGCTGGACACCTTCCAATGTGGAAGGGAAGTAAGCAAGATGTGTCTTTCATCTGCTGCATTAAATTTCCTTGGCCGACCACTGCATCTACGATTCTCAACGTTACCCAACCACCATGTCTACACTCCTCAACGTTGCCTATTTCTTTGTGCTTCTTCAAAAGAGCTTGATGAATGGAATTAATCTTTCAGTGTTTCATCAACAAACTGCTCCTGCTACAGCCAAATATTTAACATTTTGACTACAGCACCTGTTGCCATATTTCTGCACCCCATGGTTCCTATGGTTTCCTGAATAGTTGTTGCTTAGCCTTGTTTCCACATTGGAGATTTGGCTTTTTGGCCACAATTCTTCCATGAAGACCACTTCTGGCCAGACTTCTCCAGACATAGATGGGTGTACCTGGGTCCCACTGGTTTCCACTAGTTGTGTGCTTACGGCCCTGCCATGTCGAAGGGAAGTAAGCATGATGTGTCTTTCATCTGCTGCATTAGGTTTCCTTGGCTGACCACTGTGTCTACGCTCCTCAATGTTGCCCTTTGCCAATGGTGTCCTCAATGCTGAGAAATACAAGCAGATACATCATGCCGTACCAACAGGGAGGTGCGTGATTGGCCCCAAATTTATTCTGCAGCAGGAAAATGACCCCAAACATGCAGCTAATATCATTAGGAACTATCTTCAGTTCAAAGAAGAACAAGGAGTTCTGGAAGTGATGGTTTGGCCCCCACAGAGTCCCAATCTCACCACTATGGAGTCTGTCTGGGATGACATAAAGAGACAGAAGGACCGGAGGAAGCCGACATCCACAGATCTGTGCTTAGTTCTCCAAGATGTACACAGAACAACCTACCTGCCGATTTCTTTCATAAACTGTGTGCAAGTCTGCCTAAAAAAAGGCAAAGGGTGTTCCCCCCAAATATTGACTGGATTTGGATTTCTCTTCACCATTTTTATAACTGATAAAAATAAACTATTACCACTTCTATAGGTCAGGACACTCTACCACAAAGATCTGGCCATAAGAGATAAAGGAAGGTGATTTAACTCATTAGAACGTACCAAAAGGAAGTATACATTTTGGGTGGATTGAACTTTTAAAATGGAGAGCTGCTGAGCAATTACAACCAGCAGACCTTCTTGTCTTCCTTGCTTGCAGTGGTAGTGAAAGGAATATGCCATCCAGGGCATTAAACCCTCAAAAAGAACATATTACATTTTGGGTGTTTGGCTTGTTCTGGTTCAGACTCAGCTATAACATTCCAAAGCAGACTGGCAATACACGTGCATGTGTGGAAGTAAATATGGTGGCAAATCTGGGCTTGAAGACCCTCACTCTTCTAATAGACGTAGCCTATCCTACCCAATTCCGTGGCTTGCAAACACATCACCTCCCCAAGCCCCTTGAGACCCACAGTGGCCTTTTCATGGGAATCTTGCTACCACTTCCTTCTTTTCCTAACCTACTCTTTCTTACTGTGCCCTCCCCCTTCCCCAGGACCTAAAAAATACTGTCCCACTGCCAATAATAATTCTTATTCTTAAAAATAAGTTCTTAATAATCATGCCCTGAACCACCTTCTGACCATTTGGTGGCTCCTTTCTTCTCATCTTACCCCAATACTTCCCTTAGCTTGACCATTCATACACCTGCAAGGACTCTCAATTGGGGTCGTAAAATACTGCAGGTACAAAGAAATGTGTTAATATTGCTAGAAATCCTGTGAACTCCTAACTTCTTGTAGTGAGTTATCAACTCTGCCGTATTCAAAGCCAAAGCAGTGTTGTCAGGCCTGTCTGAGTCCTCCCCTGCTGGACTACAGAACCCCTGACCCTTATGTTATGGGTAAGAGGAGGGGGGATGTTTTGTAGTCTAGCAGCGAGAACTTGGCAGGGATGAAAGCACAACTTAGGATTTTAGTATACAGGAAGTTAGGAACTTACTGGATTTCTGAATGGTCAACAGGTTTTTTTTCTGTATTTTTTATTGTATTTAGAGTGAAAACACTTTGGGCATGTACTCATTTTTTCGTTTTGCCTGGAAATACACTTCAAAGACCAAGTTTATCCAAAACTAATATTTTATGGTGACACTGGTCTACCTCTACAGATATTACCTGAGAAGTTTCATGATGGTCAGAGCGAAAAGCAAAATTGTTGGGCTGTAGGTCATAGACTGCTTGAGACACTGATCCATTCAATATTGATCCTACCGATTGAGATGGTGAGCCAGTCTTTGTGTATCTCACGTCTTGCACATAGTCCTTCAAACTTAACTCCCAGTCTTCAGATTCTGGTGTCAAAGTCATTTTTTCTATCTTCTCTCCATCCAGTTCGTCATCACTGAATAATTCGCTGTCCCCTGAGTGGCCTTCAGATGAATCATCAAAGTCTGTACTGACATCAACAATACTATCTTTACAGGGGTCAGCAAAGGCTTGCAAGACATCTGCAATGGGAACACTATAATGGGGATAATAAAATAAGTCATGAGGGATTATGGAAATTTTAGCAGCGCTCTTATCATCCATTGGGTAAGTTCCCTCTTGTGGGTCTTCAACAGAATCCAGATGATTTCTTGAATTAAACTTATCTTCTGTGCTTGATCTGTATGCTTGGAAGACGGTCAACTGTCTGGAGTGGTCACCTTCTAAATGACCTCTGGGCTTATGTAGGACATACTTGAAGGGGTCATCTTCTTCATTATGGTCATGTGGTGTCACTAATCCACTATCATCAGACATCGGTGATGGCTTTATGGAATCTTGAGAGTCCTCAGAATGATAAAAGAGGTCATTAGGTTCAGAAATTGAAGAAAACGATGAAGAAGAGTCACAATATCTGTTGTAGTTATCACTAAATATATACGTTGGCTCCTGATAAATGGGTCCACCTGACGTTGATTTGGGTGAAATTTGATCTAATAAGTTGTGGTGAAGGTCTCCTTGTCCATTAGGAAGTAAAACTGTTTCCATTTGACTTTCAATATTTAGGATTTTATTTGATCCATTAGCAGAGATTTCCCCAGATACATCAGAATTCAATGAAGACATTTCAGGCCGACGTGAAAACTTGTCAAACGTAAACCCAACCATCTTCAGTACTGAGCCCTGATTAGCTTCTGCTAGGAGTTGATGTGGTCTGCTCAAACTGTTCATGGAACTCGACCTTCTGTCATCTGCAACATTAACTTCTGTATAGACGTGCGTCTCCGGAGGTGTAAGAGGCCTTGTCTGGAGTTCCACCGTAAACTCATTCTCCTCATTTTTGGGTAAAGTAATAATCTTGCCTTCTTCTTCCCTAGGACCATCTTTGTATCGCACGTACGTCATTTCCACCGGAGCATCTTCGGTGTGACCTGTGAAGTCATCCTACCAAGTAATGGACAAACATAAGTTTGGACTTAAGAAATTAACATTTAACAACATCTTCATTGACATGAAATCTACAAGGGACCTTTTTAACTCCATACTTGGAAGCAACCTATTTCAAACATAAAATAACCTAATTTACTATGAGAAATTTTGCTATTTGGTATCCAAAACCTGGAAAATATCTGGTTTGGGATGGAGAGCATGCTGGATCGGTCACTAGTCATGGATAGGCAGCTGAGTGGGCAGTGGGGAAGGAATCCCATCCAGTGGGTTGTGTTCGGTGTTGGATGGTGGTAGTGCCAGGACAAGATCATTCAGCACCCAGGGCAAAGATGACAAACTGTGCCCCCTTTTCCCCTTCCTTCCTGCTCATGATGTGCACGTTTAGGGAACCCTATACCCAGCAGTCACTTGCTTATCAAAATCACTGCCCCTGGCACTACTCCTGTCAGCCTTGTAACAGAAGGAAGGCACCCCCATCCCTACAGTAAACCTTCTAAATAACCTCTGGGCTTATGTAGGACATACTTGAAGGGGTCTTCTTCTTCATTATGGTCATGCGGTGTCACTAATCCACTATCATTGCACCCAGGGCAGCTGCCCACCCCTTGTCCTGGCCCTGGATGATGATGGTGGTGGATCCTCTTAGGGGCTTGGGCTGCATTCTGGTATGGCCTTGTTGTCATTGCAGCAAGAAGACTTTGGTGGCCAGGAAGGAGCACCTGGTGTCCAGAAAAGTGCCACTCTTGATGTCGGGTTCACAGAACGCTTATTGAAAATGTACACATTGAGCCAACGAGTTTCGGGGGGGAACTGACTCCCCCTTCTTCAGGGCTACTGCTGAGTGCTAGTGGATTTCTAGATATCCTCAACAGCCATGATCCTAGCACTGTCCTAATGTATATATTATTTTTGAAGCCCAGCATTGAAGCATATCTAGAAACCCTTTTTGGGAACCACCCCCACCCACTGGCACGCAGCAACAGCCCTGAAGAAGGCGGAAGTCCATTCCCTCGAAACACGTTGGCTTAATGTACATGTTTACATTTTCAATAAATGTTCTATGAACCCGACATCAAGAGTTGCACTTTTCTGGACACCGGGTGCTCCAGCCAACCGCAGGAAAAAAAACACAAACAATGTCGTAAATGAAACTTACCGGGTCAAGTTCTGGAAAATGCTCCAGGAACTGTGTGACGTACGTCATTATGGAGTGTTCATCTGGTGAATCCACCATCACATCTACAACCAGAAGGATTGGACATTTAGACTTAACAAAAGGAATGAAGAGCAGATTTGCACAAAATCAGAGTTTAAATTACTGAAGTCAGATTGGTGAGGAATGACTACCAAGGGCTGATGTATGTGAATGCACTTTGTACTGGGTGTCCTCTCGTATCTAATGTATGTATTCTGTTACATGAATAACTAGACTGGGCCAGTCCTGTGATCCAGACACCCCTTACCAAGGTTTTTCACATCACTTTTCTACGTGTAGTTAGGCAGCATAGCCTGGCCAGCAGCCCAAGCCTACTAATGGAAGGAGTAGAAGCACATTGACCTCAGTGGAGAGGACCTCACTCTCTACTCCTGTTAGCCAACAATACTCATTATTAGACTGACAGCACTGTGCAATGTGGTACAATACAGGTAGCTAACACTGATGCCCAGGGGTGGACTGACAACTCATGGGGCCCCCGGGCAATAGGGGATCATGGAGCCCCTGTGTCCTTGCCCAAACTCAAAAAAGCCTATGAAAAAAGGTACCAGGGGCATCTCATGGGGTCCCCTACTGACCCCGGGCCCCTGGGGCAGTGCCCGAGTTTCCAAATGGTCAGTCCGCCCCTGCTGATGGCCTTCCCTCTTAATCCAAGCCAAGATTTGTAATTCTGTTCAAGTAGATCCAGGCACCCTCCCACACAGAACAGCGGGGGCCTCACTTTTCACCACTGCACTTGAGTTATGAAGCAGTAGCCTGCTGACTGGACAATGGAGGAGAGACAGCATGCGTTTAAGGTGGTTCTAGGCTGAGATGATGTCATCAGTCTGTTGCAGGCAGGAGGAGCATTTCCTCAGTCTCCCCTCTTGTGATAAGATGTCAACATTGTAACTTTGTAGCATGTCGCAAGTTGTCCACCTATTTGTTGGCCTGTATTACTCTGTACCCCAATGTTAGTTTTTTATCCTTTACCCTCTGGTTCCAAAAGCCGAGGGATGTTGAGACTCTGCTGTGCAATAGTAAAGGCGTCTTCCAAGTTCTCCCTGGGCGATCTCTCCAGTGCCTTCTTGATGTCCACAAGGCTGGAGTCTATGGCTTTAATAATGGCCAAGAAGGCGATTCCACTTCTCCAACTACCAGCAAAATCCTGAACCGCCACTCCGTACCTGAGAGGAAGGAGAAAGGGGAACACATGGTTTGGGAATGCTTAGAGTCACACTCACCAAGAAATTAATACTGATTGTGTCTGCAACACCCTTTCCTATGAACTGTCTGAATGTTCTATTGTGCTTGGGTTTATCGGTTACATAGATGTCTATGAGCTAGCCATTCATTATTCATGAGCTCATGTATAAGCAGTACATAGATGTCTATGGGTTGCCTGTTCATCATTCATGGCATCATGCATGAGCAGTAGATACAGGTCTATGGCTTGCCCATTCATTTTCCATGGGGTCATGGTTCAGCAGTACATAGATGACTATGGGTTGCCTGTTCATCATTTATGGGGTCATGTATTAGCACTACATAGGTGTCTATGGGTTGCTCATCAATCATCCATGGAGTCATGTACAAGCAATACATAGATGTCTATGGGTTTCCCATTCATGGAGTCCTGTATAGGCACTAAATATTTGTCTATGGGTTGGCCGTTCACTATTATTGGACTCATGTACAAGCAATACATAGATGTCTATGGGTTGTCCACATTCATCATTTACGGGCTCATGTACAGGCAGTACACAGATGTCTATGGGTCGCCCGTTCATTCAGGGCATCATGCATTAGCAGTAGATACAGGTCTATGGGTTGCCCGTTCATTTTTCATGGGGACATGCATGAGCAGTACATAGATGTCTATAGGTTGTCTTTTCATTATTCATGGGGTCATGTATGAGCTCTACATAGATGTCTATGGGTTGTTCACATTCATCATTTACGGGCTCATGTTTGGGCAGTACATAGCTGACTATGTGTAGCCCGTTCATCATTTATGGGTTCATGTATGAACATTACATACATGTCTGTGGGTTGTCCATTCAGAACATGACTATGCAGAACTAGAGGAACTCCGGCACTCAGACTATGTACAACTAGAGGAACTCCGGCACTCAGACTATGTACAACTAGAGGAACTCCGGCACTCAGACTATGTACAACTAGAGGAACTCCCGCACTCAGACTATGTACAACTAGAGGAACTCCCGCACTCAGACTATGTACAACTAGAGGAACTCCCGCACTCAGACTATGCAGAACTAGAGGAACTCCCGCACTCAGACTATGTAGAACTAGAGGAACTCCCGGACTCAGACTATGCAGAACTAGAGGAACTCCCGGACTCAGACTATGCAGAACTAGAGGAACTCCCGCACTCAGACTATGTAGAACTAGAGGAACTCCCACACTCAGACTATGCAGAACTAGAGGAACTCCCGCACTCAGACTATGCAGAACTAGAGGAACTCCCGCACTCAACTATGCAGAACTAGAGGAACTCCCGCACTCAGACTACGCAGAACTAGAGGAACTCCCGCACTCAGACTAAGCAGAACTAGAGGAACTCCCACACTCAGACTAAGCAGAACTAGAGGAACTCCCGGACTCAGACTATAGAACTAGAGGAACTCCGGCACTCAGACTATGCAGAACTAGAGGAACTCCCGGACTCAGACTATGCAGAACTAGAGGAACTCCCGCACTCAGACTATGTAGAACTAGAGGAACTCCCGCACTCAGACTATGCAGAACTAGAGGAACTCCCGCACTCAGACTATGCAGAACTAGAGGAACTCCCGCACTCAGACTATGCAGAACTAGAGGAACTCCTGCACTCAGACTACGCTGACCTAGAGGAACTCCCGCACTCAGACTATGCAGAACTAGAGGAACTCCCACACTCAGACAATGCAGAACTAGAGGAACTCCTGCACTCAGACTACGCTGACCTAGAGGAACTCCCGCACTCAGACTACGTAGAACTAGAGAACTAGAGGAACTCCCGCACTCAGACAATGTAGAACTAGAGGAACTCCCGCACTCAGACTATACAGAACTAGAGGAACTCCTGCACTCAGACTACGCTGACCTAGAGGAACTCCCGCACTCAGACTATGCAGAACTAGAGGAACTCCCGCACTCAGACTATGCAGAACTAGAGGAACTCCTGCACTCAGAATGCAGAACTAGAGGAACTCCTGCACTCAGACTACGCTGACCTAGAGGAACTCCCGCACTCAGACTACGTAGAACTAGAGGAACTCCCGCACTCAGACAATGCAGAACTAGAGGAACTCCCGCACTCAGACAATGCAGAACTAGAGGAACTCCCGCACTCAGACTATGCTGAACTAGAGGGCCACATTGTTTCCATGCCTGCTCTGGGAAAAGATAGAAAATAACTAAAATGCAAAAATTTTTATTAAAAAGCACATTTTTTTCCTGCCAGCAGTCGGCCTTCAAACTCCGAGCTAATCAGCCCAGAACATGAGGCTACAGCAAGGCGGAAAGGGCCGACTCTTCTTACTTTCTTGTCCTCTGCTGAACCCAGCTGAGCAAAGCTTTGATGGCCTTCCGCTGATCCTTAATTGAAACGGACAGACTTTTCTCCGCGCTGGGATGAGACGCGTCGGACTCGTTCCCGCCAGGCAGGGAGGATAGACTGGAAGACGACGACATTCTGTTCAGGTTTCCTGTGAGTTCTTTAATCTGGGAGCAGAGAGAATACAGACGATATAAACATTTGCTGCACAAAACCGATAACGGCATGAGATGGTCTACGCGTTTCTGTGGACAGAATGTTCCTTTCTGAATACGGAATGGAAAAATCCCCAAATTACTGCACAAGGCATTTTATCTGCTTCCATGATTCTCTAACCGTAACAGAAAACAGGTTGCTAAGCAGACATGTGAACGCCGGAAATGTTCGTCTCGTTATGGATGCATTTGTTCATCAGAGAATTTCATTTCGGATGTTGAACTGATTCATTTTTGGAATTTGTTTCCTAACTTCCTATTCATTTCATATATTCGTTGTTCTGGGTGGATTTAAAAAAATTGCATTTTTTTACAGCAGATTGATATATTCGATATACACTAAATTGCCAAAAGTATTGGTCCAGCCCTCCAAATGATTGGATTCAGGTGTTCCAATCTCCTCCATGGCCACAGATGTAAGGTGAAGGGGAGGCACAGCAAATGGCCAGAAGAACTGGACATGCTACACACGTCCTGTGTACTTTGATGACTTTTTTTTTCAGGCATGTGTAGCACAGCATGGTGTGTGTTTGTGTGTGTATACACTATATTGCCAAAAGTATTGGGCCCACCCTCCAAATCACTGGATTCAGGTGTTCCAATCCCCTCCATATCATGTGATTCAGGTGCTCCAATCCCCTCCATATCATGTGATTTACGTGTTCCAATCCCCTCCATGGACACAGGTGTATACAATCAAGCCCCTAGGCATGCAGACTGCTTCTACAAACATTGGTGAAAGAATGGGTCGCTCTCAGGAGCTCAGTGACTCCAAGCGTGGTCCCGTGATAGGTGGCCACCTGTGCAATAAGTCAGCCAGTTTGGGGTGGAGGAACTTGACTGTCCTGCACAGAGTCCTGACCTCAACCCCATAGAACACCTTTGGGATGAATTAGAGCGGAGACTGCGAGCCAGGCCTCCTCCCCCGACATCAGTGCCTGACCTGACAAATGTGCTTCTGGAAGAATGGTCCAACCTTCCCATAGACACCCTCCTAAACCTTGTGGACAACCTTCCCGGAAGAGTTGAAGCTGTTATAGCTGCAAAGGGCAGGGCCAACTCAATATTGAACCCTACGGACTAAGACTGGGGGGCCATTAAAGGTCATGTGCGTGGAAAGGGCGGGGCCAACTCAATATTGAACCCTACGGACTAAGACTGGGGGGCCATTAAAGGTCATGTGCGTGGAAAGGGCGGGGCCAACTCAATATTGAACCCTACAGACTAAGACTGGGGGGCCATTAAAGGTCATGTGCGTGGAAAGGCCGGCGACCCAATACTTTTGGCATTATCAAATCGGACAGATTTGAATCGGAAAGATTTTATATTTTCAGATGCTAGTACAACCCACCAAGGGAAATAACACGAGCTGACTGGATAATATCAACTGGCATAGCGTTCATTTGAATTAACGATGGACGTAATCGAACAAATTCGAAAACTGAATACATTTCCCCATGGGCCTGAACTACGATCGCATCATGTGATGTCATCCGAATGAAATGAATGAAACAAATGTATATAGTTTTGTTACTTTTTTTTTGATTCGTTGACATTCCTTCCTATGTCCATTCAGAGATTCGGATGAATCCGAATCTCCAAAAATGATGTTTTTGTCTGAAATATGAATTGTAACGAAGTGCACGTCTACTGCTAACCAGTGGCCACAGGGCCATCAATATGGCCAGTACGCCCTGCACAGGACTTAGGCCCCACCACATCGGCAGAGGGGACCGTCCATTCGTCCCACCTCCCCCATTCATGTCATGGTAAACATGTTGCCAAGGAAGGAGAGATGGCAGCAAGAAAAGGCAGCACATGTCCACAATGCTGTATATGGGCTTCTCAGAGCCGGCCGCCATCCACACAGCGCCAATGACAACCATACAACGCCCGTAGGTTCTCCTTCTGCATCTAGTATAATTATTCGATCTCATGGCTACCCGGATGAAAGCAGAATCCATTCACTGCTGGATGGGTGGTATCAATTCTCCTTCATACCACCCCTTAAGCAGGCCATAGACGGGTCGAAAACCGTCCGTTTAAAAAAAAAAACGAAAAAATTGGTCATTCGATCGGCCAACGTTACTACCAACGGTAAAAAAATCAGACGATTTTTGTCCTGTCTATAGCCGGCATTGAACCCCATAATTACTTCTGTCCCTTGCAGAGATAGGGGAGCACACAGGGGAGCAATACATAACAAGAAGAAGAAGAAGAAGAAAAAGAAAAAGAAGAAGAAGAAGAAAAAGAAGCAAAAGAAGAACAAGAAGTAGAACAAGAAGTAGAAGAAGAAGAAGAATTCCAGTCCACTATTATATTTTAAATGAAAGTCTTGCGGTTGCAACAATGTATCCATTTGTATCCATTTCTGATACAGATGTTTTTATTCGGATACAAATGGATACATTGGTGCAACCGCAAGACTTTTATGTAAAATATAATAGCGGACTGGAATTCTTCTTTTTCTTGCAGGTCACGGCTCATGCGCAGATTTTTCATCGGTAAAACGATCAGCCGATTTGCCCATCATTGCCTTGAATTTTCCAATGTGCCCAATAAAAAATATGTGCAAAAAGCCCAAAAAAAGGCCGACCAATTAACCCACTAATGGTGCGAAAATCAGCCGATTTTTTTTTCCGGACGAAAAATAGGCCGATTTTCGACCCGTCTATGGCCGGCATTAGACGTGATCTACCTGCAGGAAGAGGATGATGTTCCAGATCAAACCGAGAACCAACGAGGGGTTTCCATCAGCGATTTCGGCGGCATCTATACTGACCAACTTCACCTGGAAAGAAGAGAATACCAACATTAATATAATCTGCAGCAGTGTTTCTCCACCTATTTAACCCAGAGGAACCCCTAAAATAATTTTCAGGTCTCAGGGAACCCTTACTGAAGCCAAATTTAGGTGGTTAACGGCAAAACATTCCCTTTGTGTTGGTGGTTAGTAGGAAGAATGCAGCCCTTACGGTGGTGGCCAGAATAGCACCCTGACAGGCAGCGTTTCCAAGTGGTGCAGGTCCTGGAACCCTACAGACACCATCAATGGAGGTCAATGAACCTCAAGCAACCTCTGGAGGAACCCTGTGGTTCCATGGAAGCCTGGCTGAGAATGGCTGATCAACAGAGACACCTCTCCTGTCTTCTTCTATGTATAGGATCCTTCCAACCACGAGATTTCCCCACCAGAATTCTGTTCCTGCCAAGGGCGGACTGACAACTCATGGGGCCCCCGGGCAATAGGGGATCATGGGGCCCCTGTGTCCTTGCCCAAACTCAAACAAGCCTATGAAAAAGGTACCAGGGGCATCTCATGGGGCCCCCTACTGACCCTGGGCCCTCGGGCACTGCCGATTTTCCAAATGGTCAGTCCGCCCCTGGTTCCTGCACACCTGGAAGATATGGGCGTTCCCAACCACCTTTGTGCATTCTTAGCTCCCCCTGATATGACCTACGTAATATAAAATATATAAAAACACAGCAGGAGTTGTGGGAACCCCTCATAATGGGCGGAAACAGCGATGGTGTACAGACTCGGAAACTGAGCACAGGGATGGTGGGAACCCCTCATAATGGGCACAGCGGGTGTACAGACTCGGAAACTGAGCAAAGGGATGGTGGGAACCCCTCATAATGGGCACAGCAGGGGTACAGACCCGGGAACTCAGCACAGGGATGATGGGAACCCGTCATAATGAGCACAGCGGGGGTACAGACCCGGGAACTCAGCACAGGGATAATGGGAACCCGTTATAATGGTGGCCCGCCATCCAAAATGTGTCGTCCTTCAGTAGATTACAGCTGAAAGAGGCTGGATATGTGTGTTTTCAAAAATAATCCAAAAATTTTTATTGAATGGGCATTTTCTTCATTTAAAATCCAGATTCTTTCAATAAATAAAACCCATTAGGACCTCCACAATCTTTTTCCTATAATTCTGGTGATTCTCCGGTCCCCTCCTCACCCCGGTGCAGACACCCCCTACAGCTGGAACGCTTTAATTGTCACAGCAGGCTGATTGCGTTCCCATAATCTGGAGTCGGACAGCCCAGCCGGCTTAGGAATTGCTCTGAATTAAATCTCAGAAATCCGATTAAAGATCGACGCGCCTCTGGAGGAGAACGGGTCACAAAAAGCATTTAGTCAATTAATCCGCGCGCTGCACATCGGACTGACAGCTGGAGGACACAGGCCGGGGGGGGGAGGGGGGGGGGGTACAGAGGCTGCCCTTACTGAACTCCTTCTGGAAATGCTGGTTGCCTGGCTGGCCTGACGGTCCATTAGCATTGCTTCAGGGCAAGCATGCAACAAGTTGGGCAAAAAAAACAAAATTTTAAAAAATGTAAAACGCATCAAAAACCACGCCAAAAAAAACACACAGCAAAAACGCAAACTGCACTGGAATGAACCAGGCCTGAAATGCATTGAAAACGCACCAAAAGATGCACACGTGTTGCGTTTTTGATGCATTTGGCATTTTTAATCTGCCCAGTTGGCCAAAAAAATTCACAAAATGCATCAAAAACGTAAAACGTACAGCAAAAAAGCACCTCAAAATGGACAAGACGCAAACTCCATTGGTGTGAACCAGCCCTGAAATGCACTAAAAAAGCATTGAAAAATGCACATCTGTTGCGTTTTTAAACTTCCCAGCAAGTTGACCGAAAAAAATTCACAAAATGCATCAAAAACGCAAAACGTACTATAAAATGGTCTGCAATGCATTGAAAAAGCATAAAGAATGCACACACAGCATTTTTTGATGTGTTTTTAAATTGGGGGGGGGGGGGGGGGGATTTGTGCTGGGAGCATATAGGGAGAGAGAGGATTTGAGCTGGGGGGGAAGGAGGGGTGCAACAATTTTGTCCTGGGAGGGGGGATTTCAGCAGGGGGGCAAATTTGTACTGGGAGGGGAATTTCAGCAGGGGGGGGCAGATTTGTACTGGGAGGGGGGATTTCAGCAGAGACGGGGCAGATTTAATTTACTGGGAGGGGGGATTTCAGCACGGGGGCAGATTTGTACTGGGAGGGGGATTTCAGCAGGGGGGCAGATTTGTACTGGGAGGGGGGGGGATTTCAGCAGGGGGGCAGATTTGTACTGGGAGGGGGGATTGCAGCAGGGGGGCAGATTTGTACTGGGAGGGGGGATTTCAGCAGGGGGGCAGATTTGTACTGGGAGGGGGATTTCAGCAGGGTGGCAGATTTGTACTGGGAGGGGGGGGATTTCAGCAGGGATGGGGCAGATTAATATTGGGAGGGGGGATTTCAGCAGGAGGGTAGATTTGTACTGAGAGGGGGGATTCCAGCAGGGGGCAGATTTGTACTGGGAGGGGAGATTTCAGCAGGGGGGCAGATTTGTACTGGTAGGGGAGATTTCAGCAGGGGGGCAGATTTGTACTGGTAGGGGGGATTTCAACAGGGGGACAGATTTGTACTGGGAGGAGGGGTAATGTATGCTTAGGGTGTGAGCATGCAATTAGGTCTTGATTTTTTTTGGGGGGGGGGGGGGGGGGTAGAGGGGCTTTTTGCTGACTCAAACATCTTGGGGGGGGGGGCGCAGTTTTGCCATTTTTGCTCTGGGCTCTGTATGACCCAGTGCTGGGTGCCCTTTTCATTCCTATTGGGACCCTCACTCATCCACCTGTCCTATGAGGACAGAGACTGTGTCCATGCCCTGTGTGTCCCCATAGAAGTGAATGGGTCGCTGGCACAGGGATCTACACGATACCAGTGCAATCCCCACGCTGGCAAATCACGAGACACGTGGGCGAGGGGGACACGGGGACACGTGCAACTACTGGAGAAATGAACTGAATTTTTTATTTTTTTTGCTCCACCTGCGCACATCCACACACTGGAAGAGCAGTTTTGCCTAACTGCCACTTTGTCACCGCCCTCCTCCCTGGTCCTGAGACGCGCAGGCCGCTACAATGAGCCTGGGCGCCCTGCAGATTCTGCGAGAGGAAAACACGCACACACACCGGTCGCCGGTATGTCGATCAATGAAGACACTTACATTGCTGTCTTCCAGAAACTTGAGCGATTTGGCGATGTTATTCAGCCGGAATATGCGATGAGATGACGATTTGTATTCATGGAGCTGAAAACACAGACAGGAGCGGCATTATCAGTCCGCAATGGAAGACATATTCAAATATTACCCAGAAAATATACTAGGAGTCACATTGGATGGATAAATAAACAGGAACAAAAGGTCTAAAATGCTGCTCCATGCTCCCTCCAGGCCTGCTCCGCCCTATGTGTTTCGTCACATCTAGGACGAAACCTGTAGGGCAGAGCCTGCTGTGATGTCATCACGCACCAGAAGTTTGCTGGAGGCCATCTTCCTTACTGGCCAGACTGTTTGTTTATACACCCTTTTGAAACCTTGTATACAGTGCCTTGAAGAAGTCCCCCTCCCCTTGAAATGTCCCCCATGTTGTCATGTTACAATGTATTCCTCCCTCCCCCACTGAAATGTCCCCCATGTTGTCATGTTACAATGTATTCCCCCCCCCCTGAAATGTCCCCCATGTTGTCATGTTACAATGTATTCCCCCCTCCCCCCCCCCATGTTGTCATGTTACAATGTATTTCCCCCCCCCCCATGTTGTCATGTTACAATATATTCCCCCTCCCCCACTGAAATGTCCCCCCATGTTGTCATGTTACAATGTATTCCCCCCTCCCCCCCCCATGTTGTCATGTTACAATGTATTCCCCCCCCCCCCCCATGTTGTCATGTTACAATGTATTCCCCCCCCCCCCCCCCCCATGTTGTCATGTTACAATATATTCCCCCCCCCACTGAAATGTCCCCCATGTTGTCATGTTACAATGTATTCCCCCCCTCCCCCTTGAAATGTCCCCCATGTTGTGTTACAATGTATTCCCCCTCCCCCCCCATGTTGTCATGTTACAATGTATGCCCCCCCCCCCCCATGTTGTCATGTTACAATGTATCCCCCCCCCCCCCCCATGTTGTCATGTTACCCCCCCCCCATGTTGTCATGTTACAATGTAACTATCGGGATTGGATGTGATGGACGGACACAAAGTGGCACATAATTGTGAAGTGGAAGGAAAATGAGAAATGGTTTCCAACATTTGTGACCAATAAATCTGTGAACAGTGTGGCGGCATTTGTATTCGGCCCCCCCAGAGTCAATACTTTGTAGGACCCCCTTTGGCTGCAATTTCAGCTGCAAGTCTTTTTGGGGATGTCTCTTTGCACATCTAGAGAGGGACATTTCTGCCCGTTCTTCTTTGCAGAATCCTCAAGCTCTGTCAGACTGGATGGAGGGCGTCTGGGAACAGCAATTCTCAGGTCTGGCCACAGATTCTCCATTGGATTTGGGTCTGGACTGTGACTGGGCCATTCTAACACATGAAGATGCTTTGATCGGAACCATTCCATTGTAGCTCTGGCTGGATGTTTCGGGTCGTTGTCCTGCTGGAAGGGAACCTCCGCCCCGGACTCAGGTCTTCTGCAGACTAACAGGTCTTCTTCTAAGATTGCCCTGTATTTGGCTCCATCCATCTTCCCATCAACTTTGACCAGCTTCCCTGTCCCTGCTGAAGAAAAGTATCCCCACCACATGATGCTGCCACCACCATGTTTCACAGTGGGGATGATGTGTTCAGGGTGATGTGCAGTGTTAGATTTCCGCCCACACATAGCGTTTTGCTTTTAGGCCGTAAAGTCCCATTTTGGTCTCCTCTGACCAGAGCCCCTTCTTCCACATGTTTGCTGTGTCCCCCACATGGCTTCTCACAAACTGCAAAAAGGCAGATTTGTGGAGTGCACGACTAATAGTTGTCCAGAGGACAGATTTCTCCCCCTGAGCTGTGGATCTTTGCAGCTCCTCCAGAGTTCCCATGGGCCTCTTGGCTGCTTCTCTGATGAATGCTCTCCTTGCCCGGCCGGTCAGTTCAGGTGGATGGCCATGTCTTGGTAGGTTGGCAGTTGTGCCATACTCTTTCCATTTTGGATGATGGATTGAACAGTGCTCTGGGAGATTTTTTTTATAATGCAATCCCACTTTAAACTTCACCACAACTTTATCCCTGACCTGTCTGGGGTGTTCCTCGGCCTTCATGATGCTGTTTGTTCACTAATGTTCTCTAACAAACCTCTGAGGGCTTCACAGAATAGCTGGATTTATATTGAGATCACATGACACACAGGGGGACTCTATTTACTAAATTAGGTGACTTCTGAAGGCAATTGGTTCCACTAGATTATAGTTAGGGGTATCAGAGTAAAGGGGGCTGAATACAAATGCACGCCACACTTTGTATTTATTTGTAAAAAATGTTGAAAACCATTTCTCACTTTCCTTCCACTTCACAATGATGTGCTACTTTGTGTTTGTCCATCACCACCAATCCTGGTGAAATACATTGACGTTTTTGGTTGTAACCTGACAAATTGTGGAAAATTTCAAGGGGTATGAATACTTTTTCAAGGCGCTGTATATGGATGGCCCCTGAACTGCAGTTTGGAGGTTGCTGTTCTATAAGTAGGCCCTTTGGTAACTGGATTTAGTACTTTTTAAGACTGTCATACAGAAGCCTTCAGTTGTACTTTAATCTGCTAAGGATGACCCCTGCTGGTGGCCAAATCCTCCATCTGCTACAGGCAGCTCAAATACTCATAAAGCAATGCAAAACCAAGAACCACAGGGGTGGGAGCTGTGTCCTTCAATGAACTCCAGTGAGTAGACCCCCCCCCCCGCCCCAAAGTTTCGCTTACGTTCCCTGAAGGGCACAGCCCAGCAGAATCTTGACCGTAGGGATGTCCCACAACAGTGACCATCGAAGGGTGGGCAACCAAAACCAAATGACCCGAAAGACCCCCAAGGGAAGCAAAAGACTGAGCTGCTTGTAGCAGATTGGGGGGGGGGGGGGGCACCAACAGGGGTCTAACTAGGTGTTCTTTTTCTGCTTATTGTTCTCCTAAAGGTGGTCAAGATTCTACTGGGCTGTGTCCTTCAATGAACTCAGAGAAAGCAATTGTACCGCGAGTAGAAAAAAAACCCAGTTTCTCTTGCGTTCATTGAAGGACACAGCCTGGTAGAATCTTGACCATAGGGATGTCTCAAATCAGTGGCCATCGAGGGGTGGGTAGCCAGAACCAAACAACCCAAAAGACCCCCCTAGGGAGGCAAAAGACTGAGCATTTGGGGGGTTGGGTTTAGTCACCAGAAGGTGTACCCCTTTGCCAAGGTTTGTTGTTCTTTGCTGCCTATTGTCCTACTCCGGAAGGTTGTACCTATAACCCTATGGTCAAGATTCTACTGGGGTATGTCCTTCAATGAACTCCAGTGAGTAGATCCCCCCTTCCCAGTTTTCTCTTACGTTCACTGAAGGACACAGCGCAGTAGAATCTTGACCGTAGGGATGTCCCACAAGGGTGACCATCAAAGGGCGGGCAACCAAAACCAAATTACTTGAAAGACTCCCCAAAGGAAGCAAAAGGCTGAGCTGCTTGTAGCAGATTGGGGGGGCCACCAGCAGGGGTCATAACTAGGTGTTTTTTTTCTGCTTCTTGTTCTCCTAAAGGTGGTCAAGATTCTACTGGGCTGTGTCCTTCAATGAACTCAGAGAAAGCAATTGTTCCGCGAGTAGAAAAAAGAAAACCCAGTTTCTCTTACGTTCATTGAAGGACACAGCCTGGTAGAATCTTGACCATAGGGATGTCTCAAATCAGTGGCCATCGAAGGGTGGGTAGTTAGAACCAAACAAGCCAAAAGACCCACCTAGGGAGGCAAAAGACTGAGCAGATGGGGGTTGGGTTTAGTCACCAGAAGGTGCTACCCCTTTGCCAAGGTTTGTTGTTCTTTGCTGCCTATTGTCCTACTCCTGAAGGTTGTACCTATAACCCTATGGTCAAGATTCTACTGGGGTATGTCCTTCAATGAACTCCAGTGAGTAGAAGCCCCCCTCCCCAGTTTTCTCTTACGTTCACTGAAGGGCACAGCCCAGTAGAATCTTGACCGTAGGGATGTCCCACAACAGTGACCATCAAAGGGCGGGCAACCAGAGCCAAAATGACTTGAAAGACCCCCCAAAGGAAGCAAAAGACAGAGCTGCTTGTAGCAGATTTGGAGGGGGGGGGGGGGTTGTTGGCCACCAGCAGGGGTCATAACTAGGTGTTTTTTTCCTGCTTATCGTTCTCCGAAAGGTGGCGCTATAACCCTACGGTCAAGATTCTACTGGCTGTGTCCTTCAATGAACTCAGAGAGAGCAATTGTACCGTGAGTAGAAAAAAGAAAACCCAGTTTCTCTTACATTCATTGAAGGACACACAGCCTGGTAGAATCTTGACCGTGGGGATGTCCCACAACAGTGACCATCAAAGGGCGGGCAACCAGAACCAAATGACTTGAAAGACTCCCCAAAGGAAGCAAAAGACTAAGCTGCTTGTAGCAGATTGGGGGGTAGAATCTTGACCATAGGGATGTTCTCAAATCAGTGGGCATCGAAGGGTGGGTAGCCAGAACCAAACAACCCAAAAGACCCACCTAGGGAGGCAAAAAAGTGAGCAGATGGGGTTGGGTTTAGTCACCAGCAGGTGCTACCCTTTTGCCAAGGTTTGTTGCTCTTTTCTGCCTATTGTCCTACTCCTGAAGGTTGTACCTATAACCTATGGTCAAGATTCTACTGGGGTGTGTCCTTCAATGAACTCAGAGAAAACAGGGGCAGACTTGATGGACTACATGGTCCTCCTCCAGGTATAGCCATGTTACTTTGAAGAGTAATGTTTTCCAGCTTTAGGATATTTTTGAACCCTGTGAGCCCCGACCCAACTACCCAACCAAAGATGACTTACCAAGCTCTGCCCCGTCAGAACCTCCAAGAGGGCCATCAGGATTTTACCGTCTTGAATATCCACAAACAAATCCTTGACTTCCAGCGGTGGGGTGCACTGTGGAGACACACAAAATGGCAGATATTATTACTGTGCTGACCCAAGCTAAAACACACACACAGGTCCTCCAGAAGAGGGCGCTATCTAAAGCTGGCCATACACTAACAGATTTTCCAACGAACATTCGTATGAAAATTCTCAGTACATTCGGTGACTTAAAGAATGTCGTTCAAAAATATTTCAAAATTTCTGACCATCTCCTGTACCTTTTCTGCAGTCTCTGACCATCTCCTGTACCTTTTCTGCAGTCTCTGACCATCTCCTGTACCTTGTCTGCAGTCTATAACCATCTCCTGTACTATGTCTGCAGTCTCTGACCATCTCCTGTACTATGTCTGCAGTCCCTGACCATCTCCTGTAGTATGTCTGCAGTTTCTGACCATCTCCCGTACCATGTCTGCAGTCTCTGACCATCTCCTGTACCATGTCTGCAGTCTCTGACCATCTCCTGTACCATGTCTGCAGTCTCAGACCATCTCCTGTACCATGTCTGCAGTTCTGACCATCTCCTGTAATAATGTCTGCAGTCTCTAACCATCTCCTGTAGAATTTCCGCAGTCTCTGACCATCTCCTGTGCTATGTCTGCAAGTCTCTGACCATCTCCTGTACTATGTCTGCAGTCTTGACCATCTCTGTACTATGTCTGCAGTCTCTGACCATCTCCTGTACTATGTCTGCAGTCTCTGACCTTCTCCTGTACTATGTCTGCAGTCTCTGACCATCTCCTGTACTATGTCTGCAGTCTCTGACCTTCTCCTGTACTGTGTCTGCAGTCTCTGACCATCTCCTGTACTATGTCTGCAGTCTCTGACGTCTCCTGTATTATGTCTGCAGTCTCTGACCATCTCCTGTACCATGTCTGCAGTCTCTGACCGTCTCCTGTACTATGTCTGCAGTCTCCGACCATCTCCTGTACCATGTCTGCAGTCTCTGACCGTCTCCTGTACACCATGTCTGCAGTCTCTGACCATCTCTCTGTATTATGTCTGCAGTCTCTGACCATCTCCTGTACCATGTCTGCAGTCTCTGACCATCTCCTGGTACTATGTCTGCAGTCTCTGACCATCTCCTGTATTTATGTCTGCAGTCTCTGGTCATCTCCTGTACCATGTCTGCAGTCTCTGACCATCTCCTGTACTATGTCTGCAGTCTCTGACCATCTCCTGTACTATGTCTGCAGTCTCTGACCATCTCCTGTACTATGTCTGCAGTCTCTGACCATCTCCTGTACTATGTCTGCAGTCTCTGACCATCTCCTGTACTATGTCTGCAGTCTCTGACCATCTCCTGTACTATGTCTGCAGTCTCTGACCATCTCCTGTATTATGTCTGCAGTCTCTGACCATCTCCTGTACTATGTCTGCAGTCTCTTGTCATCTGACCCTGTTACTATGTCTGCAGTCTCTGACCATCTCCTGTACTATGTCTGCAGTCTCTGACCATCTCCTGTACTATGTCCGCAGTCTCTGACCATCTCCTGTACTATGTCTGCAGTCTCTGACCATCTCCTGTACTATGTCTGCAGTCTCTGACCATCTCCTGTACTATGTCTGCAGTCTCTGACCATCTCCTGTACTATGTCTGCAGTCTCTGACCGTCTCCTGTACTATGTCTGCAGTCTCTGACCATCCCCTGTACTATGTCTGCAGTCTCTGACCATCTCCTGTACTATGTCTGCAGTCTCTTGACCATCTCCTGGTACTATGTCTGCAGTCTCTGACCGTCTCCTGTACTATGTCTGCAGTCTACGTGGCCCTGAGCAAACCTTGCCCTGGTGCCATTATTATCTGGTGCAGGCTCGAATCTAACTAATAGCACAGCAGCAACACAGACAGTTTCCTATTTCAGTTGGTCTGGCCAATGAGTAGGTCTGAGCAGCTGCGGCGCCCTCTGCAGTCCCATCAATGGTGTAGAGCGATGCCGGAGATAAAGCGGAATACATTAAATCTGGAATTCCCTGTTTTTTGCACCAAAAGGACCAACAACAAGAGTCCCACAACCAGCCCCCCCCCCCCCCCCCCCCGTCCGGAGGAAAGTCAGCGATTTTGTCTCTTTGATTTTCTTTAATGTCCTTGAATGCCATTGAGGAGCCTCTCGTGTATAAATCCTCCCCCCCCCCCCACGCCACCCCCCCGCCCCCACCCCCGCACTGAGCGCATTCTGCACCGCCATACACAAAGCTGCAGCAACCAGCCGCTTGGTCGATTCTAAAAGATTTTTTTTGTACTTCAGATCTGAGGATCCCGACCTTCTCTGTGTGCAGGCAGAACATTCCGACCGAATAACACCCCCATCCAGGGAGCTGATCATCCTTCAAGGAGGACTCCCCTGCAAAGGCACCATGGGGTGTAGTGCAGCTGGCCATTACAGTTACAGTTAGGGGGTCTATTTTCTACACATTGGCGCAGGCGGCACGAACTTTGCCTGTAATTTCCATAATAGATGAATTCCTATGATCGTCGGCTCCATCTAGTGACCAAAACGTGATATATTTTCTCATTGAGGTATTTCAGAAAACTGTACTGCATTTTGGCCACTAGATGGAGCGCAAGATCATGGGAATTCATCTATTAGAGGAATTACAGGCAAAATTTGTACAGCATGCGCCAGGGTGTGTGTGACATTCGTACAGCAAATGTTTTGTAAGTGTGTCTAAACCCACAAAGAAAAATGTAACATACTACAGAGTATCAGTCCGTAGGTGTGAGGCTTGCATTTAATGTGATCTTTTCATTGTTTAAGTGGTGAACCTACCAGTGAGACATACTTCCTGTCCCTGGGTGGCTACGCTCACTTCTCCACTGTATCTAAGGAGGGAGAAATGGTTGTCACCCAGGCTGGACTACAGACAAGCCTGCCCCTTGTTCATGCCAGTTACATAGGGAATGGGGACGTCAGTAGTTTACCTTCTATACTTGTAGAGAATGTGTTGCCACCCTGCCTCACTGACTTCCAATAGAGCGTTTTTCAATACTTGACACAGGCCCGGTCCACTGTTGACACCGTCATGGCACGGTCCACTGTTGACACCGTCATGGCACGTCCACTGTTGACACCGTCATGGCACGGTCCACTGTTGACACCGTCATGGCACGGTCCACTGTTGACACCATCATGGCACAGTCAAAGTTGAAACCATCATGGCACAGTCCACTGTCAACACCATCATGACATGGTCCACTGTCGACATCATCAAGGCTTGGCCCACTGTTGACACCATGGCACGGTCCACTGTCGACACCATCATGGCATGGTCCACTCTTGACATCATCAATGCTTGGCCCACTGTCGAAACCATCATCACACGGTGCACTGTTGACACCATCATGGCACAGTCAAAGTTGAAACCATCATGGCACGGTCTGCTGTCAACACCATCATGGCAAGGTCCACCATCATGGCTCGGCCCACTGTCAACACCATCATGGCAAGGTCCACTGTCAACATCATCAAGGCTCGGCCCACTGTCGACACCATCAAGGCTCGGCCCACTGTCGACACCATCAAGGCATGGTCCACTGTCGACACCATCATGGCACGGTCCACTGTCGACATCATCAAAGCTCGGCCCACTGTCGAAACCATCATGGCACGGTGCACTGTCGACACCATCATGGCATGGTCCACTGTTGACACCATCACTGCACAGTCCACTGTTGATGCTATCATGACTCGTCCCACTGTTGACGCCATCATGGCACTGTTTACTGTTGACACTATCATGGCACGGTCCATTGTTGACACCATCATGGCAAGGTCCATTGTTGACACCTTTATGGCACTGTTCATTGTTGACACCTTTATGGCACTGTCCATTGTTGACACCATCATGGAACTGTCCATTGTTGACACCATCATGGCACGGCCTACAGTTGACACCATCATGGCACGGCCTACAGTTGACACCATCATGGCACGGCCTACAGTTGACACCATCATGGCACGGCCTACAGTTGACACCATCATGGCACGGCCTACAGTTGACACCATCATGGCACTGCCTACAGTTGACACCATCGTGGCACGGCCTACAGTTGACACCATCATGGCACGGCCTACAGTTGACACCATCATGGCACAGCCTACAGTTGACACCATCATGAAACCAACCCTGAGAAATTGCAAGCAACCATCGCTTGAGTGCATTTATGCAGGAAGTGGCTGCAAAGAAGCTGCAGTGATCAGCAGAAGCCATCAAGGTTTAAAAAAATGGGAAATAATCGCAATAATAATTACAAAAAGCAACTGCTTCTGATACACAATACACAATGCTTTAGAAAACGAAGGGTCACCCAGATTCAGATTTATTTTAGGCTATTAGAAATGAGAACAATACACAGCACATACATAACAGGTGGAAAATGTGAGGGAGGTGAAGTCCAGGTCTCTGATGAAGGCCATGCATGCCAGAACAAAGGTGCTTTTGTCAGTCGGTGTGGCTCGTGTGTGTTGGCACGGGCTCCGTGGAAGGTGTGGTGCACCCATGATGTAAGGTTGCACTCGATCCCGCACATCAGAAGGCCCACATAAACCCAGCAGACAAAGGAGGGCCTGTGCCCCCCCCAGTACCCCCACTCACTGCCATCGATCAGTGTCTGGGTCAACTGTGCTGGGGGCCCCATAACTCCAAATGTCAGTTTTTTAGGCAGCCTAGAAAATGACCAGAGGGGAGATCGGTGCTCTCCAGTAACTGACACAGTCCAGGCCTGCAGGTCTCGGGCCGAGTCTGGAATGCCGAGCTTTTATTTATGCCATTACCCCAGCACCGCCGGAAGCTTTTGCAGCAACAAGTGCAGGCTTAAATACTTTCAGGATGAGGAAGTCAAAGCAGTAATAAACCCAAAAGCAAACATTTATTAAATCGCAGCTTACTAATTCTTAGATGTGATGGCTGCATTCACTTTCTTTTTTAGGCTGTTTTCACCTGGTTGATACTCAATTTTAAAACCAAACTTTACCCTACAATTGCCTATGAACATTCAACCAGAGGAGAAAATAGCTTAAAACAATGGCCTAAGAACATTCAACCAGAGGAGAAAATAGCCTAAAACAATAGCTTAAGAACATTCAACCAGCAGAGAAAATAGCCTAAAACAATAGCCTAAGAACATTCAACCAGCAGAGAAAATAGCCTAAAACAATAGCCTAAGAACATTCCATCAAACATAGCATAAAACAATAGCCTAAGAAGTTCAACCAGAAGAGAAAAAAGTCTGAAACAATAGTCTAAGAACATTAAACCAGAAGAGAAATAAGCCTAAACAATGGCCTAACAACATTCCATTAAAAATAGTCAAAAACAATAGCCTAAGAACATTCAACCAGAGGAGAAAATAGCCTAAAACAATAGCATAAGAACATTCCATCAAAAATAGCTCAAGACAGAAGCCTAAGAAAATTAAACAAGAAAAGAAAATAGCCTAAAACAATGGCCTAACAACATTCCATCAAAAATAGTTAAAAACAGTAAACTAAGAACATTCAACCAGAAGAGAAAATCGCCTAAAACAATAGCCTGAGAATATACAAGCAGCAGAGAAAATAGACTTAAACAATAGCTTAAGAACATTCAACCAGCAGAGAAATATAGCCTAAAACAATGGCATAACAACATTCCATCAAAAATAGTTAAAATCAGTAGCCTAAGAACATTCAACCAGAAGAGAAAATCGTCTAAAACAATAGCCTAACAACATTCCATCAAAAACAGTCAAAAACAATAGCCTAAGAGCATTCAACCAGAGGAGTAAATAGCCTAAAACAATAGCCTAACAACATTCCTTTAAAAATAGTTAAAAACAATAGCCTAAAATATTCAACCAAAACAGAAAATAGCCTAAAACAATGGCTTAAGAACATTCCATCAAAAATAGTCAAAAACAGTAGCCTAAGAACATTCAACCAGCAGAGAAAATAGCCTAAAACAATGGCTTAAGAACATTCAACCAGCAGAGAAAATAGCCTAAAACAATGGCATAACAACATTCCATCAAAAATAGTTAAAATCAGTAGCCTAAAACAATGGCATAACAACATTCCATCAAAAATAGTTAAAATCAGTAGCCTAAGAACATTCAACCAGAAGAGAGAAAATCGTCTAAAACAATAGCCTAACAACATTCCATCAAAAACAGTCAAAAACAATAGCCTAAGAGCATTCAACCAGAGGAGTAAATAGCCTAAAACAATAGCCTAACAACATTCCTTTAAAAATAGTTAAAAACAATAGCCTAAAATATTCAACCAAAACAGAAAATAGCCTAAAACAATGGCTTAAGAACATTCCATCAAAAATAGTCAAAAACAGTAGCCTAAGAACATTCAACCAGCAGAGAAAATAGCCTAAAACAATGGCTTAAGAACATTCAACCAGAAGAAAAAATAGCCTAAAACAATGGCTAACAGTCCATCAAAAACAGCCAAAAATAATAGCCTAGGTACATTCAACCAGAAGAGAAAAAATTCTCAGACGGTTCAGCAGGGATTGGCCGAGATTCAAGCCATGTATAGCCAGGCTGAATGTACCCAAGTTGATCAATCGATCAACTTGGGTACAGCCAGCCTGTCAGATTTTCCATGCAATTACTGCTAGAGCCTATTATAGACGCTAGCAGGTTTCTCCTGGTGCAGAAAGAAAATCGCTCCTTCTATGGCCGACCTTAAAACAATCACCTATAACAATAGTCTAAGAACATTCAACCAGAAGAAAAAATACCCTAAGAACATTCGATCTAACCTCGCTCACACAACAGCCACAGCTTTACACAATATGAGAAAAATCCCTAAAACTTGCGAGGAAATGCTGGTAAGTTCACACAGAACGAAGGTACATTCAGTTCCGCTGGACGGTTAGCTGTGCATTTTTAATGTTCAGCCAATCTATAGCCGAAGCGGAATCTCTAACACTCGCCCCGCGTTTGCTGTCCCCCTCCTTCGGCCTCTGCGAATCATTAATTGGATTTCACAGTCCGTCCCGTACAATTGTAGACGGAAGCTCGGTGATGGATTTTTTGGCTCGCGTTATTCCCGAGAGCAGACGTCCCAACAAATGATTTCACTTTGACAGGTGAAGGCTAGCAGGGTTGAGCGGGGGGGGGGGACTGGAGGGGGAGGGAGGGGATTGGGGGGGGGTCGCAGTCTATGTTCCATCCAAAAAAAAAACCGTTCTCTTTTTTCCTGCACAGAGGAGCCTCATAGGAGCCTCACCTAATAACTTTCACAAAAGCCAAAATCTCTCAGGAGAGGACTGATGGTCAATGACAGGTGCCCATTGGTGCGCGGATCCATTCAGGTAGGTGATACAATTAGCCCCTTGAATTGAGAGGGTCCCATGACATGGAGCGGCCACCATTCACTCTTAATGGTCGACTTCATTCAAAATTGATGTTTGGGTTCGGAGTGGACCACCACCACCATCTTATATATCATGTGATACCCAGACAAATGATTGTTCTGCAACCCCTAGGAGGTCCACACTAAGGTGTCACATGTCTGACCCAATTATTCATCCTGTGTTATGGAGGATCCATCAATGGAGCGTGACTCCAACAGTTGGCTGGTACTTGACATTTCTGCCAGGACTTCTGATGGTCTTCACAGAATCCATGCCAAGACTTCCAGTGGTGCTCTCAGAATCCCTGCCAGAACGTCCAATGGTACATAAAGAACCAGAGCAGGCATTTCAATGGTACTCGTAGAATCCCTGTTAGGACTTCCAAAGGTACTTGCAGAACTCTTGCCAGGACATCTAATGGTACTCATAGAAACCTGCCAGAACTTCCAATGGTACTCAGAATCCCTGCCAGGATTTCCAAAGGTACTCAAAGAATCCCTGCAAGAACATCCAATGGTACTCAGAATCCCTGCCAGGACTTCCAATGATATTTACAGAATCCCAGCCAGAACTTCCAATGGTACTCAGAATCCCTGCCAGGACTTCCCCAATGGTACAGTAAAAACAGTGGCAGGAATTTCAATGGTACCCGTAGAATCCCTTTCAGGACTTTGAAAGGTACTAACAAAATCTTTGCCAGGATATCCAACAGTACTTACAGAAACCCTGCCAGGATTTCCAACGGTACCCATAGAAACCCTGCAAGAACTTCCAATGGTACTCAGAATCCCTGCCAGAACTTCCAATGGTACTCAGAATCCCTGCCAGAACTTCCAATGGTACTCAGAATCCCTGCCAGAACTTCCAATGGTACTCAGAATCCCTGCCAGGACTTTCAATGGTACTCAGAATCCCTGCCAGGACTTTCAATGGTACTCAGAATCCCTGCCAGGACTTCCAATGGTACTCAGAATCCCTGCCAGGACTTCCAATGGTACTCAGAATCCCTGCCAGGACTTCCAATGGTACTCAGAATCCCTGCCAGGACTTATAATGGCACTCATAATCCCTGCCACGACTTCCGATGGTACTCAGGATCCCTACCAGGATTTCCAATGGTACTTAGAATCCCTGCCAGGACTTCCAATGGTAATCAGAATCCCTGCCAGGACTTCTAATGGCACTCAGAATCCCTGCCAGGACTTCTAATGGCACTCAGAATCCCTGCCAGGACTTTCAATAGTACTCAGAATCCCTGCCAAGACTTCCAATGGTACTCAGAATGCCTGCCAGGACTTCCAATGGTACTCAGAATCCCTGCCAGGACTTCTAATGGTACTCAGAATCCCTGCCAGGACTTCTAATGGCACTCAGAATCCCTGCCAGGACTTCTTTGCCTTGTGACAGGCATCAATGGTACAAGAAATGGGGGGAATCACTATTAGCGATGAAAAAACATACTTTTTCCTGAGTAAATTACTATGTAGCAGACTTCCAGGATTCGTTTTTAGTGTCTGCCCGGAGGAATAAGTAATATCTCGTCATACCTTTTCCAGATGAAGGTTCATCCACCGCGTGAACGTTCTTTTCTGTACATTTTCCCGTTCAGCTAGAAGGAAAAAAAAAAAGTCGATGAATAAAACAAGAAATACGGATCTACAAAATAATTCGGCCTTAAAGTCTATGGAAATCTGAACACTGAAATCTCACGTATGCAATAAATATAAAATCAGTGAGACTCGATAATATAGCAGCGATTGCATGTAAAGGTAAAACCTCATAAAATTCAAATGCATTAAAGTGCAGCGCTTAAAAGTATTTCAAAGTATAATAGTATAAAATTATATTTAAAATTGTTGACAGTTCGTGATAAAGTGCTTGATACAGGAGTTGATGGTGACTTTAAATTCCAGTGGCGTGCCAGTGAATAGTAAAAATACGCACTCACCAGATGCGTATCTTTAAATACGCATATAATTAGTATGACCAGAGGTCCCCCTCTCAGGATGGGATGGATGAGTTGGGCCGTTTTAACGGTCTCTTCTCCCTCTTGATCCAGATAAAGATACGCATCTGGTGAGTGCGTATTTTTACTATTCACTGGCACGCCACTGGAATTTGACATCACCATCAACTCTTGTATCAAGCACTTTATCACGAACTGTCAACAATTTTAAATATAATTTTATACTGTTATACTTTTAAATACTTTTAAGCGCTAAGAGAACAGAATAGTAAATCAGAACCACTTGTCCTGCGCTCCCGCGATGTCCCTCCTGCAGTGTCCCCGGCAATGTAGTCCGGCCGATGCCGGCATCCGTCTTCCGGGTTCCGTCCCCTGCGAGCGTCGGGACGTACGGGGGACGGAACTGGCGGGAAGTTTGAAAATGACAAAAAGTGACATTCACTAAAATCACATAGTATAACATTCCTGTATCAAACCATTTCACATACATTTTGTCCCGAGTGCTTTGTCCGGCGCCCTGCCTGCATTTTTACTGTTCTTTCTGCCTGGAAACTGAGAAACGTCCATGGCGTCCAAAAAGCGTCCCTTTAGGTCAGACGCGGTTTTAGACCGGCTAGAGAACAGCGATAGTAAATCAGAACCACTTGCAGAATTGAGTGATAATGATTGGTGGGGGAAATTCCTCATCAGACACTGAAAACGATTCTGCGACTGAGCTCAGCGATGGGCCAACTTGGCGCTCTATTTCACATTTCAGTGTTTTTGGTTTCATTATATTATTGAATTACATTTATTATTATTATATTATTATTTTTTATGATTATTTATTAAATTATAATTTATGATTTCATTTTTCCAGTTTTATCCTCCCCGGGATGTTTACTAGACTCTTGTTCGGACAGATTTCAGTGAGTTATTCCTGAGAATTACAGGCCTACAATATAAAAAATACATATTTCCATGCAAAAAAATGTACCGCTTTGAGCACAGAAATACTGACATCATCAGACCGCTAGGGAGGCTACAGCTACAAATCCCGATCTAGTAGGGAGTTATGTTTTCATTTTTCTTCAAAGTTTCCCTTTTATCACGAGTCTGTTTGTGAACGTCAAGGCACTGAAGCCTGAGAATCGCTTTCATCAAGGACCCTGATTCATTGTGACATTACGTGACACAAACAATGGCAGCCTTCATTAGCCGCACACAGAAGCCCAGCTTAGATGTCTTTAATTACTGAGCTGCGTCTGCAGGACGGCGGCGCTGACCTTGCCTAAATGAACGCCGCGTTCCGTCTCTGATGCATCTCGGTGGGTGAAGCTGTCCGATGCTTTGCAGGTTGTCAGTTTGCCCTATAAAGGTGTCAGCCCTCCTCAGCAATGAAATGATTGTTATTGGGAGGAGAGGGCGGCTAGGCTGGGAGGTGTGGAATGCACAAATAACTGACATGCTTTGTATATATCATCAGCGGCCGAAATGGTAAGGAAGAGAACTTCAGGCAGTCGGCAAAGCCTGTAGACACTTTTTTGAACCTTTAGGGCTCCATGTACACTGCGGCTGATAAACTCACGTTTAGGAGCTGTTCAGCGTTTTTTTCAGCAGCCCCTGAACTCTCCCTAATGTTCTCCTATGTGTCTGTGTACACCTTGTCATTTACAGTCGTTTACAGTCGTTTTGAGTTCACTGTCGTTTTTTTTTTAACGCAACAAACTTGCGTTCAGACGTTGTTATCAGCGTTTCAAACGCAAACCGCTTATAAACGTGGCTAAATGCGTCAAATTGCGTTTATAAGTGTTTGCGTCTGAAATTTTTTTTTAACTCTTCCAGTTCCGATGCTGTCCAGAGCATTTTTTTCATCATGAAAAATGCATGCAAAGAGTTTTCAAGGTACTCAGATGGACAAAACACTGAACACAGGATGTTCCTACCAAGCTTGTCACACATTGTAATGACCAATTCACACCTCAGACCTCCCCCACCCTTGGAAACAAAAGATATGTTAATGACCATTCACACCTCAGACCTCCCCCACCCTTGGAAACAAAAGATATGTTAATGACCATTCACACCACAGACCTCTCCCACCCTTGGAAACAAAAGAGACATTAATGACCATTCACACCTCAGACCTCTCCCACCATTGGAAACAAAAGATATGTTAATGACCATTCACACCTCAGACCTCTCCTACCCTTGGAAACAAAAGATATGTTAATGACCATTCACACCTCAGACCTCTCCCACCCTTAGAAACGAAAGATATGTTAATGACCATTCACACCTCAGACCTCTCCCACCCTTGGAAACGAAAGATATGTTAATGACCATTCACACCTCAGACCTCTCCCACCCTTGGAAACAAAAGATATGTTAATGACCATTCACACCTAAGACCTCTCCCACCCTTGGAAACAAAACATATGTTAATGACCAATTCACACCTCAAATTCCTCATGAAGACCCCCTGCCGGGTGACCTTAATGACTCCACCAGACACCTTTCCCACCCTTGGCAACAAAAGAAATGTTAATGATCAACTCACACCTCAGTTAATCTCAACACATACTGCTGTCTCTGCTTCTACTCTCTGTATTTCTCTGAAACAGTCTTAAATAGCTCATAATTTAATTTTCAGTGCATTCTGGGCATTTGGGAGGTTCTGCTGTACTTATGTTTAAAAAACGCTTCTAAACACAAATGCACAAAAACGCGCATAAACGCATTATGCAAACGCGGCTAAACAGACATTTTTTTAACCTACGTTTTCCAGCAGTCAGTTTCCATCGTTCAGAAACGTCCCGTGTACATGGGGCCTTAATCTCAAAGTACCCTCTAAACTGTACCTTTGTCCTTCCCCGATCCTCTAGTGGCAAATCTAAACCTCCAGCAAAATGAATTCTGTTGTGAAGATAAGTTCTACCACAGTGGAGCAAATAATCCATACAGCAAAAAGTGTGTACACATCTCTTCAAATGATTGAGTTCGTGTGTCTCCAGTGAAGGGGAGGGATGTGTTTGGGTTCCGTCTGACCCAATCAGCTACAGCTGGGTCATTCCCCGTCTTCCAGCTAGACATACACAAAAGGGGTACGGATGTTTGTGACATCATTGACCTAAAAGGGCCACATGGACCCACCAAACCCAAGCTCATCCTTAGTAAAGGGTACTGTTACTACGTCCTAATACAGACATTTTAAACGATTGTGCTCTTCCAACCTTGTGGCAACAGTTGAAGGAAGACCCTTTTCTGTTCCAACATGACTGCGCTCCTTATGACCAGCTCCATAAAAACATGGTTTGACAGACAGACTGAACACCTTTGAGATGAATTGGAATGCCAATTACAAGCCAAGTCTTCTCATCCAACATCAAGACATGGTTTGACCAGTTTGGTGTGGAGGAATTCGAGTTTCCTGCACAGAGCCCTGAACTCAACCCTACTGAACACCTTCGGGATGAATTGGAATGCCAGTTGTGATCCAGGTCTTCTCATCCAGCATCAGAACCTGACCTGGTTTGACAGACTGAACGCCTTTGAAATGAACTGGAATGCCAATCACGAGCCAGGTCTTCTCATCCAACGACAAGACATGGTTGACCAGTTTGGTGTGGAGGAATTCGAGTGTCCAGCACAGAGCCCTGAACCTCAACGCTACTGAACACCTTCGGGAATGAATTGGAATGCCAATTGTGATCCAGGTCTTCTCATCCAGCATCAGAACCTGACCTCACAAATGGGCCTATATTCCCACAGATAGTTACATAGTTAGTCTGCCTGATAAAAGACGAAAGTCCATCCAGATCCAATTTGCTCCTGCTGGGAAAAAAAATTCCTCCCTGATCCCCCAAGAGGCAATCGGATATTCCCTGGATCAACTGTAACTATAAATGTTATATCCAGTTATATCCTGTGTATAAATCTTCTCAAGAGAGAATAAATTCAATTCCTCTAATCTTTCCTCATAGCTGATCTCCTCCATGCCTCTTATCAGTTTGGTTGCCCTTCTCTGTACTTTCTCCAGTTCCCCAATGTTCTTTTTGTGAATTGGTGCTTAAAACAGATACACTCCAAGATCTTGTGGAAAGTCTTCCCAGAAGGGTGGAGGCTACTGAAGCCACAAAGGGGCGGTGGGGACTCCATAATGACCATAGGGAATGTGGGGCAACTCTATATTAATGCCCATGGGGTGCCAACTTCATATTAATGACCATGGTGGGGCAACTCCATAATATTGGTCACGAGATGCCAGTTCAATATTAATGGCCATGGTGGAACAACTCCACATTTATGGCCATAATGAAAGTGGGGCAACTCTATATAAATGGCCATGGATTGGATTGGGATGTCCAACAAGCTCCAGGTCACCAAAAACATTCGGCCAAAGAGTGTTTTATCCTAATCTCAGTTTGAAAGCCACTGCGCCAAATTACGACGCACCAAATTATAAGCTCTGAAAGCTGGACATCAAGATAACACAACCCATCAAATCAGTGTTCTACTTACTAACCCTCCCAGCTTATTAACGCATATAAAACCTCTGAAATAATAAAAAATGCTGCCAATAATCAATGCTAACTAAATGCATAATCCAATTTTGCAAATTTGTCCAAATTTTTAAAACAGTTTTTCTTTAATTTCTCCTTCACATTTTTGT